CCTTTATTTCAGTCCGTCGAGCACCAATAACAACACGTGTGTGAACCGTCCCGATGTTTTCCACTCTTATGGTCAGAGTTGGGGAGGTTCTGTTGCCGGGCGACGAGTTCTCCTGTGAGACCGACGACACCATCTCTCTGACGGACCACGTTAAACCGGAGAAAGTGGTTTGTGGTCCGGGTCTGAGGCGGAGCGGAGACCGGCTGGTGGTCTGTAAAAGCGGCGTCCTGCGACACAAACAGCCGAACGTGTTCTGGATCGACTCCCAGCAGCGGAGGGTGAGTCCTAGTTTAACATTCAGAACCCCGTTCCCAAAACACGCAGATTAAGCTTTTCCCGTCGGTACGACAGCGCGGGCCATGTTCTAAGATTCTCGGACTGAATTCAAACCAAAGATGAAGTTCACACTCTGTGTCGGTAAACTTCCGCCAGAGAGCTGCAGCTGAATCACGGAAAGCCAACAGTCAGAAGCTAACAGTTAACACAGCTAGCTAACAGAAGCTAACATAGATTTATGGTGAAACGTGTCTTGGATTAACACGAGTTCAGCAGCTCAGATAGAAAACTGCAGGAAAGACACTAATAAGAGGAGACAGGTGATGGAGCAGTGCATGCTGGGAACTGAGTCTGTCTTTGTGTCCTCTGTCCTCAGTATGTCCCCGCTAAAGGCGAGACAGTCATCGGCATCGTCACCACCAAGTCAGGAGACATCTTCAAGGTGGACTTCGGAGGAAGTGAACAGGCGTCTCTGTCCTACTTGGCATTCGAGGGAGCCACCAAGAGGAACAGACCCAATGTCCAGGTGAGACATGAGGACAGGATTAGGTAACCCCTCCCTCTGTTACCTGTGTCCAAACCCTCCCTCTGCGTTACCTGTGCAGGTGGGGGACCTGGTGTTTGCTCAGTTCATCATAGCCAATAAGGACATGGAGCCAGAGCTGGTCTGTATCGACAGTTCAGGACGGGCCAATGGGATGGGAGTGTTCGGAGGAGGCGGGCTGCTCTTCAGAGTCTCTCTGGGACTGGTGAGGAGGTAATGACACCACCAACAGCATCATCATCATGTTAAAGAGTCTTGACATGAAATATTAAACATAATCAATATATGATCAATGATAAAGTTGGTTCTGTAGAGTCAGATCTTTGTTGGTTTGTTGATGAGTGATTCAAGTTATTAAATCTGGGATCAAACTGTCATAATGCCCCCCCCCCCCCAGACTGCTGTCCCCCCACAGTGAGATCCGGTCTGATCTGGACCAGCTGTTCACCTGTGAGCTGGTGGTGGGGATGAACGGGCGTCTGTGGGTCCGGTCCTCCAGCGTCCAGCAGACCCTGATCATCGCAAACCTGCTGCAGAGCTGTGACACCATGACAGCCCCCCAGAGACGGGAGCTGTTCAGGAGGGTCAAACAGGGGGCGCTGTAGACCAGATCAAACCACATCAGACCACCTGCTGTGGGTGATTAGAGGAAGTCTGATCCTCCTGTGAATGTCTCGCCTGGCTCCAATGATGTCACACTGTACTCCAGGATCCTGTGACCTCACTACTAGGTGTGGTCACAGAGTTATGATTAAAGGAACAATTCTTTCACATCTGTGATAAACCGCTCAGTGATTGGCCACCTTCAGCCAATCAGAGCAGAGTTTGTGTTGACAGATACAGTAACAGATTCTGTCAGTTTTATCTCTGTATTTAAAGACTCCACAGTCCTGGACCTGAGTCAAGTCCACCTCACATCAGACCTGGTTTCCCTATAGTTCTGGATTGGTTCTGATCCAGATTCTGATCCAATTAGTTTGCTTCTAATGTTGTTTATCACATGACAGAAATGACTCAAATGATGACAGCTGGGGAAGGTCATGAGATAGAGAGCTCTGGAGAAGAGTAGAGAAGTGGACTCTGTTCCACCTCAGGTCCAGGTTTTACTCCTCAAATAGAAACCCTGTAAATCAAGTCGACATGAGTCACAGAGAATAAAATGCTTACACATTCAAACGGCTGCAGAGTTTGAAGCTTTACTTTCCAGATGTTTTTCTAAGTGTGCGTGTGAGTACAGCTGATGTTTGATTCTGGAGACATCTTGATCAGTGAAATCAGGTGTCACCTGGAGGAGGAGGAGCCTGGTGACTAGAGCAGCTTCCTGTTTGTTTGTTTGTCAGCTGCTCTGATGAATCTTCTGGTTTCTTTATATTTGTAATAAACAGTTTAATACCATGTGTCTGTTCTCTCTTTTGATTGGCTGTCACTTCCTGTTAAGAGCTGGACTCACCTGTGAATTACCTGAGCAAAGGTCAGTTTCCTGTCTATAGATCTGAAGGTTATTGATCAGTTGATCAACAGAGAAATTAACTTGATCCAGGTTTTAATAAACCAGACATTCTGTGATCAGATGTTTGGTGATTGATTAGGATGAGTAATCAATGATTAGGTTCAATAATCAATCACGGTTTTATAGCTTATTCCTTATGTCTGATTATGAAAATAACATTTCTCCACTGGACTGATCTGGACTGTGGACCAGGTCCTGAACCACATTTCATAAACTGGAGCTGCTGACGGAGACAGGAGGTGAATCTGGATCAGATCGTTCTGGTTTCACAGAGTGGAACAAACAACTGGACCTGTACAGGTCACTGAAAACGAAACCTGAACTGAAAAAGTAAACTGACATTAAAAGTTTTATTGTCATAGACTCAGATCAGCCACAACAAAAACACCAGTCCTGATATAATGTGACAGATTGGAAAAATTAAACACCAGCATTAAAAAAAACAATATTATTTAATTTAGATATTCTTTGTGTTATGGTGTTGTTCAGTGTCAAACTTGAGATTTTGTCTTCATGTCTTTTGTTTGTGACAGTATTTTTTATGTTGTTTCATTGTTTCTCCAGTTTCAACTTTCCACTGTATATTATATTTTTTTATATTTATTTTATTTTATATCTGTATTATATATGTATGCCTTACTGTACCATGACTTTTTATGACTTAGGCCTACTATAGTGTGAGTTTCTTTGCCTTACTATACTATGACTTTTTATGACTCACTATACTATAATTTATTTTTAAACTTACTATACTATGACTTTTTATGACTTTTCTGCCTTACCATGACTTTTTCTTCAGTATACTATCACTTTTTATGCCTTACAATATTATGATTTTTTGGACTTACTATAATATGACTATTTATGACTCACTATACTATGACTTTTTTACCTTGCTGTACTAAGACTTTTATTCCCTACAATACAAAAAATGTTTGCCCTCAATATATTGTGACTTTTTGGCTTACTATACTATGGTTTTCTTAACACTTACTATACTATGATTTTCTTAACACTTACTATACTATGGTTTTTATGACTTCCTTTACTAAGACTTTTTTATTCCTTACTGTATTAGTATGACTTTTTTGTATTACTCTAATATGGTTTCTTTATGACTTACTATACTGACTTTTTATGCCTTACTACTCTGACTTTTTTTATGACTGACCATGACTTTTCTGCTTTAGTATATTTTGATTCTTTATGACTTACTTTACTAAGACTTTTTGTGCCTTACTGTGTTGTTATGATTTTCTAGCATTACTCCAATATGATTTCTTTATGACTTACTCTACTGACTTTTATCTTACTATACTATGATTATTTTATCACTTACTATACTATGAGTTTTTTCCTGCAATATTCTATCATTTTTTTATGACTCACTATACAAGAACATTTAATGCCTAACTATACTGACTATTTATGCCTTATTATACTAAGACTTTTTGCCTTAATATACTATGAGTTTTTATGACTTACTATGAATTTTTACACCTCACTATACTATGACTTTTCTGCCTTACTATACTATGGCTTTTTATTACTTACTATGGTATGACTTTTTATGACTAACTTCACTAAGACTTTTTTATGCCTTACTGTATTATTATAACTTTTTGGCATTGCTCTAATAAGAATTCTTTATGACTTACTATACTGACTTTTTATGCCTTATTATACTATGATTTTTATGCCTCACTACACTATGATGTTTTTATGACTCACTGTACTATAATTTTTTTAATCACTTACTTTAGTATGCCTTTTTATGCCTTACTATACTATGACTTTTCTGCCTTACTTTACTATTATTTATTATGCCATACCAAACTTTGACTCTTTATGACCTCAGTATACTATCACTTTTTATGCCTTTCTATATTATGATTTTTTGGACTGACTATAATATGACTTTTCATTATTATACTATAACTTTTTATGACTTACTATGACTTTTTTAAAGTATTTTTTTTGGACTTTTGTGCCTTTATTGGACAGGATAGTTTAGAGTGACAGGAAATGGGGAGGCAGAGAGAGGGGGAATGACATGTAGTAAAGGGCCGTCCGATGCCAGATTTGGACCGGGGCCGACTGCAGCGAGGACTGGCGCCTGCTCAACCCACTGCGCCACTCGACGTCCCACTTACTATGACATTTTGTGACTAAATATAATATGACTATACTATAATTTTTTGATTTGTTGGACTTACTATAGTATGATTTTTTTACTATCTTACTATCCTATGACCTTTTATGCCTTACTATATTATGGCTTTTTATTACTTACTTTACTAAGATGTTTTTTATGCCTTACTGTATTATGACTTTTTTGCATTACTCTAACATGATTTGTTTATGACTTACTATACTATGACATTTTTGCATTACTATACACTGATTTTTTCGACTTACAATAGTATGAGGTTTTTTATATAATAAATCCAGATCTTATATGTTAATAAACCGTTTGGTTGACAGTATCTTTTTTTGGAGGAAGATAAATAAATATAAATATCTGAAATATGTGGTTTGAGTTTCAGTTGAACTCCTCCTCCTCCCTCATTAAAAAACAAACAACAAATATCACAAACATCAAACTGGATTTATTGAGACCCAGATCCACAAACAGACCTCATCACATTTTTACACCGACTGGTTCCCTCCACCAGTTCAACAGTTACACTGGGCTAATTTAAGGCACATACAAAGGTGATTTATTCACTTTACAAAGAATCAAGTTTTGGTCTGAAACAAACAAACCTGTCGACACAGAGACAACAGCATCATGATCACACACACACACACACACACACTGATTGTTTCATGTAAATGGTGGATATTTGTTTTGCTTAGACTGGATCAATAACGAGCTGTCAGCTGATCACATTCACTTTAAATAAAGTCTTTGGTTCCAACAGCTCTTATAAGGACACTTAGAGATACAATCAGTCAATCATTCAATCAATCAAATCAAATCAAATCAAATCAAATCAAAACTGGATGTAGAGCTGAAGATGAATCTGCAGCCATTTGTACAATCGATGAATCAATCAATAATTCTGATCGATTTTTGGTCATCTCATGATGATGATATGATGGCATTTCACAGACTAAACTGATAACTGATCAATTAACTGAACGTTGTCAGCTGATTAATCAATAATCAACATAATCATTAACAGACTTTTTGGTTTGAAGCTGATCTCGTTTCATCATTAATTTAGGGACCGATCACACACACACTCTCTCTCTCTCTCACACACACACACACACACACACACACACACACTCTCTCTATCAGACTGGGTGTTTAGATCTGGTTCTGATCCTTGATCAGTTTCTGTAAAGTTTGAATTTTCTAATGCTAACGCTAACACTAACGCTGGTCACAGAGTCAGACTGACATCATGTGACATCATGTACCAGCTGTCAGTTCGTGAAAGTAGCTTCAGTCTCCAGATCAGTGCAGTGACTCAGTGATCCGGATCACTGTGATTTTTTTCCACAGGGTCAGTTTAGTCCACTCTAACCTGCTGCTGTTTGTCTCTGACCCTGGATCAGGTCTCTGTAAGTGGACCATGAGTTAAGAACCACATCAACAGAATCGGGATCACTAAACAGAACCAGTATCAGGGTCAGATCAGATCTAAACCGCCCTGCTTGATACCCAGAATCCCCGACCAGTAAAGCCTGGACCATGTGACCCAGCAGTCCTGATGGTGCTGCTCTGATTGTCTGATTTTCAAAATAAAAGGCTCGTTCAGGATGCTTCACAGCAGCAGCGTCTGACTGACAAATGGAGGCAGCCCATTGGTAACAGTGAGCGTCCAATCAGAGACGAGTCGTCGAGGACCCGCAGAGAAAAACACAGACCTTCAGTCTCAGGAAAAATGACAGAAAACAGCAGAAAGGATGAGTCCAGCACGTCTGGTCCTCCAGACCAGAACTGAGAGATTCAAGTGTCAGAGGCAGCGTCACTCTCCTGGTCCAGTCACATGACCTCCTGGTCACGGCTTCCCCACGTCCACTGTGATCTGAGTGAACAGGTCAAATTTGTCGATCTTCACGACTCTGTAGGATAGAGAGTTGATCCCGTCTTTGTGCATCGTCTCTCTGGTATGAGCGATCCGGTCAAACCTGCAGGACAAACACAATCCTTTAGAACAGATCTGTCCTGATCCTGAACCTCCTGAAGTCTCATGTTCTGATCAGCTGATCCTCCAACCAGGACCAGCTAATTGTCTTACCTCTGAGGGTTCGGCTCGTTCTGTTTGTCTCTCTGGTGTCGGATCATCCGACACTTTCCCACCTCGCCACTCGGTCTGGAGATGGACATGCCTTTAGACGCCAACCTGAAACACAACAGGAAACACAATGACATCACAATGACATCACAATAAAATCCGGATTATACAGTCAAACAAGACTGATGAAAGTGAAGCTGCTGGTTTGTCTTGTGTATGAATCTGTTCTTAAGTCAGAGGAGGTCAGAGGTCAGGTGAAGGTCAGAGGTGTATACCTGTTGTAGATGTCGTCATCCTCTCCTCCCCAGCCCCAGTAGTTGTTGGGGAAGCCGTTGATCTTCAGATACTGTTCTTTACTCATTGAAGAAACTCCACCAAAATACTGATTATAGGGCAACCTGCAGGACAAACACACACACACACACACACACACACAGACACACACACACACACACACACACGTTATAAACACATTAATGTGTTATATGTGTAGAGCTGCTGTGCAGACAGAGAGTAAAGTTAGATCAGAGTAGAGTCGATCACCCTGCCTTGATGGAAGCACATTACCTAGTCCAATTTATATGCTAAGCTAGGTTAGCTGTTTCCAGTCTTTGACCTTATCAGACCGACTCACAACAGGAAGTGAAAGGACAAACTCCAACTGAACAGTGTGAGGTCATTTAGTTCTCACAACTTCACAGGGTTGTTTGTCGGTTCAGAAAGTCTTAGTGCAAGTGTGTGTGTGTGTGTGTGTGTGTGTGTGTGAACAGGAAACAGGAAGTGAGGAGTCAGGCAGATGGTGGCATGTCAGAGCAGATCTCTTCCTCTGTGGTGTCTCTGTCAGCAATATCTGAACAAACACCCTGTCCCTCAGGAAAGGAAGTGAACTTGAAGCCCCAGATGACTCATGTGACATCATCATCGTGGTCATCCAGCTGCAGCTGGTCCACACTGAGACAGTTAATGACCCTGTTGTACCTGCACACTGACTCACCTGTACCTGAGCTGCACTGTCACATGACCAGACCTCTGGTCTGGAGATCTGGTCTGTGAACTGAGACCACCAGGTGGTTTCAGGTACTCTGAGCTGGGATGTGATTCAGAGGCTACAGGAAGACTGTGTGCTGACTACAGGTCTGTCAGATTCTGCTGGTCCCTGCTGTCAACAGACAGCTGAGGGGGAAGTCAACTACCACTCCCAGAGTGCATTTCACTGACCAACAGCCAATCACAGAGCAGGTGGGAGCCAAACACACACACACACACAGACACACAGACAAACACAGACAGACAGACAGACACAGACATGCACAGACACAGAGACAGATACACAGACAGACAGACACAGACAGACACAGACACAGACAGACAGACAGACAGACACATACAGACAAACACAGGCACACAGACACAGAGAGACATATACACAGACAGACAGACAGAGAGACAGAGACACACACAGACACACAGAGACAAAGTCAGATACACAGACACAGAGAGACAGATACACAGACACACAGACAGACACACAGAAACAAACACACAGACAGACAGAAAGACAAACACAGACAGACAGAGAGACAGAGACACACACAGACACACAGAGACAAAGACAGATACACAGACACAGAGAGACAGATACACAGACAGACAGACACACACAAACAGACAGACAGACACAAACACAGACAGACAGACACAAACACAGACAGACAGACACAGACACAGAGAGACAGATACACAGACAGACAGACAGAGACATAGACGGACACACACAGACAAACACAGACACACACAGACACAGAGAGACAGATACACAGACAGACAGACACACACAAACAGACAGACAGACACACACACAGACAGACAGACACAGACACAGAGAGACAGATACACAGACAGACAGACACACAGACAGACACACACAGACAGACAGACACACACACAGACAGACAGACACAGACACAGAGAGACAGATACACAGACAGACAGACACACAGACAGACACACACAGACAGACAGACACACACACAGACAGACAGACACAGACACAGAGAGACAGATACACAGACAGACAGACACACAGACAGACACACACAGACAGACAGACACACACACAGACAGACAGACACAGACACAGAGAGACAGATACACAGACAGACAGACACACAGAGACATATATACAGACAGACACACAGACAGACACACACAGACAGACAGACACACAGACACAGAGAGACAGCTACACAGACAGACAGACAGACAGACAGACAGACAGACAGACACACAAACACAGACGACATACAGACACAGAGAGACATACACACAGACACACACAGACAAACACAGACACACACACAGACAGACACACAGACACAGATACACAGACAGACATACAGACACACAGAGACAGACACACAGACACAGGCAGACGTGGTCTCACCTGAAGCCGAACTTGTCCATGGACACAGACAGGTGTCGGGGCTGGCTGAAACACCTGTAGGTGTTGCGGTCATCCATGGGGATCAGGTCCACGTCACTGAAGACGAAGCAGTTGTAGTCGTAGTCCTTCAGAGCCTCCATGTAGCCCACGTTCAGCAGCTTGGCTCGGTTAAAGATCTCGTCTCCGTCCTGAGAGACACAGACTGAGGTCAGTATGTCCTCTGGTCACATGGACCTGTCTTTATCAGAGACATGGACCTGTCCTGTGGTTTACTGATCACTGAGTAAAGACTGACAGGTTTCGGAGTTTGATGGTGAAACACACAGAGGAATAAAACTCTCGTGATCACATTAGAGGCTGAGAGCTGGGACATGAGTGTGTTTGTGTGTGTGTGTATGGTTTCATGTTGTTAAGATATGAGAATGTGATTCTGTTAGAGTTTGTGTATTTTAAATGATCAAGCGAAAACAAACACATCTCTCTGTCCTCGTTAAAGTCCTTGTTCCAGCTTTAAGTCAACTCTCTGAAGACCCATCATGTTTGATCAGGTTTCGTGTAAAGAGTCCAAGTCTTAATTCACTCCCTCCTCCCTCTGTAGTTACTGTACAGTGAGTCCACTGTGTTGTAGTGCTGTCTGAATGTATAGTGAGACTTATTAAACCCTATATAGTGAACTCAGTATCCCACAATGCATTGTGAAATGTATTGTGCATGCATTGTACTTGTGCTGAAAAAGATGAGCCAAGTAGTGCCTGAAAGTTTTATTAAGTGATGTAGTCCTCTACACACACCTGCCTGGACAGAGAGGAGGGAGTGATTTCAGACACAACCAATGTGTTGGTCCGTCTCTCACCATGTTCCTTCTCTGTCTGTGTCTCTAAGCTCAATGGTTCCTACTGAAGAATTCTTCACAGATGAACTCCCACAGCAACTCCCACATGAACAAGCGTACACTTGATGTTTTCAGACGCAAGTCTTTGAGGAACAAACAGGAAACTGATGATAGCTCTTCATCAGGTTACTGCAGTAAACACACCTCAGGTTGCTAGGCAACAGACACCTGCAACAAGCTCTCAGGTGTGAGGAGCTGTTTACCTGTAGGGCTGACAGAGCAGAGCGAACTCATGCAGCAGTTTAACATGAATCCGTCTGTCCAGACCAATCAGCTTCCTCTGAGGGAGAAGCTACTGGCAGAAAGGGGCGTGGCTAAATAGGTTAATGTAGAAGCTGTAGAAGCATCAGTTCTGTGTGAACAGCTGACTCCACTGGAGGTCAAACAGAATCTGATTGGTTGAAGTTATCCTGGGTTTCATCCAATCACTGATAAGTACAAACAGTGTCATATGAAGCTGTTGCAGATGTTCTGAGTGAAAAACATGTTCTTCATGTTCTCCTGCTGTTCTCTCAGTCTGGACCTGCTGTCTGAAAGTGAACTCAGGTAACCTCTGATTGATGGTATATCAATAAAAACATTCTGACATCAGACAGAACAATAATTAGTGACTCTGACACCAGGGAGCAGCTGGAGACACAATATAAACACATGAAAACATTCATCCACACTGTAAAACACACACACACACACCTGGTGTTTAATGGATCAAACCTTCTGTCACTTTATATGAAACATGTTGGGGTTTACAGTTACATCCTCCTGCTCAGTGACTGCGGCCATGTCCACACTACTACGTCCAGACTAACACATGAAAACACATGACACATCACATGACTGTCCGCCAACACTGAGCATGTGTGAGCCGGTGTAAACAGGAAGTAGATTGTCTCCTCTGCAGTAAAGCCTCTGAAGGAGGAACAGCAGAGACAGTTGTAGCATTAAAACAGAGACTGTAAGTGAACAACAGCTGCAAAGACAACAAGGTCAGTGACACTGTCCTTCATTATCATGTTGTATTCACCACTGGTAGTCCAGGCTGATGAGAGCCAATCAGGAGAGACCGTGGCTGCGACCTCATCGTTTACAAAGGTTTACACTAACACGTTTTCATTTTAAAACTAATTTCTTCTTCTACATTTCCTCCTCCGTCCAGTTTTCAAGCCCCAAAAACACTTTCAGAAACTCTCCTGGATCCGTTTTATTTTGAAAACTCTGGGGTTGTGCTTTATTTTGAAAACTCTGGGGTTGTGTTTTATTTTGAAAACTCTGGGGTTGTGTTTTATTTTGTAAACTCCAGGGTTGTATTTTATTTTGTAAACTCCAGGGATGTGTGGATGGAGATCTTTTTCATTTGAAAACGCTGTTCTAAAATGGAAACATAGTCATGTGGATGTAGCCTCAGTTTCTGTCCGTCCAGACTACAACACAACCCCAGGTTTTCAAAATAAAACTCAAGTTGTGTGGACGGAGGAGGAAACGTAGGAGAAGAGATTTAATACTAAAACGTAGTCATGTGGATGTAGCCTGAAATAAGCAGAGCTCCACCTGTACAAACTGTAGGCTACAGGTAAATTTCTCCACAGGTAGATCACCTGAGAACAGCTCAGTGACACTCAGTCAGTTGTGTTGTTCTGTTGCTGAGTGTAGATGATGTTTTATTGTTTACCACTGAATCGAATCATTTCACAGAAACATAAGGAACTTTCTGTTAGTGAAAATGCAGCATAGACAGTCTGAGACCTCCCAGCTCAGACAGGTGAGTTCATACAGGTGAGTTCAGACTGAAATATGTAGAACACTGTGTTTGTGTTCAGAAACAAAGAGAAACAGATGAAGAGACAGAGAAAGAAAGAACCTGTTTACCAGAGCGACCCTCCACACCAGCTGCTACTGGCTGAGACTGAGCAGGGGGCGGGTCTCAGCAGATCCACCGACCACAGCCATTGGTCAGAAATGCCTGACATGCAGGGGGGGGGTGGGGGGAGCAGGGTGAGGGGGAAACTAAAACAAAAGAGGAAGAGGAAGATGAAGAGGAGGACACAAACAAGAGAGAGAAGAACAACTGTGAGTCAGAGTCACACACACACACACACACACACACACACACACACACACACACACACACACACACACACACACACACACACACACACGCACACACACCACACACTACACCACACACCACACACACACACACACACACACACACACACACACACAGCCGTGAGAAGAAGAAAACGTTAATAGAAGAAGAGTCAGATGTTAATCTGCTCCTGGAGCTTTGATTTTGAAGAGTCAGACCTGAACCACCCTGTTCGTCAGACCTGGTTCCTCTAATCCAGACTAACAGAGTGAAGACTGGTTTATTGATCCAGGATCATGATCATGTGTCAGATCAGCTGACTCATTATAATCAGTCTTTCAGTATAAATCTAAGACACATCAGGATCTGAACCACTGTTAACTCTAAAACCTCTTGGTCCTGATCCAGATCAGACTCCTCTGATTCAGTCCATGCTGTTAAAACACAAACCTTTCTCTCACACACTCACAGGTCAGATCTGGATCTGGATCATTGAGTCCTGAAGCCAAAGACCCTGAGAGGAGTGAATCATTTACAAATCCAGATCCTCTCTGGTTCCGGGTCTAAATCCAGATGTGGTAGGTTGTTGTCTTTTAGCTGACGTCCCCTTCCTGCTTTATGTTATAGATGATGATCAATAGATCAGATATATTGAAAAAACTGAAGTAATCAGCTGCAGGTGACTTCAGGTCCTCATTACCATCAGATCCCTGCAGACTGTCTCTCACCTGCAGAGCCACAACTAACAAGCACCTTCATTTACAATTAATCTGCTGATGATTTTCTCAATCCAACGACATTTGACCATTCAAAAACCTGATCGATCAATTGACTAATCTATCAGTTCGTTGCGGCTAATGGTTGCAGCTCTAAACACTGGTCTTTTATCAGTGTATAGAAGCTGACTGTGCTCTATTTATTGATTATTATATCAATACTCTGTCACCAGATACAAACTGAAACCAGAGCCGCCACACTCCTCCTTCATGTTACAGGTGTGACAATCAAATGAGGAGCCAGGTAGGTCAGGTGTCTTCCTGTCTGTGAGCAGCTCATTTACATTTAGTGAAAACATGTTGGTCTGTGGTTCAGAGTCTATGACAGTGTCTCAGAGGATCTGAAGTCTCTGTGCAGCTCCTCAGATACACCTGCGAAATACACCTGTACCTGTAACTGTCAGCATCTGACACACAGATAAACATCAACTACAGACTAAACTAAATGAGTCATCAGAGAAATGCATTGTGACTGAAAGTACTTCCTGCAGTTACAGTATCACAGTAAAAGTACTTCCTGAGTCATTTGACTGTTGTAGCTGATTTACCTACATCATATACTCTTAGATAGTTCAGTCCACTGGTTCCCAACCTAAGGGCTGGGCCTCTCCAAAGGGCCTCCAGATAAATGTGAGGGGTCATCACTGTTATATTGTATCTAGGACTTGAGTAAAAGAACAAGTAGTAGTACTATTAGAAGTAGTAGTATTAGAAGTAGTAGTATTACAAGTAGTACTATTAGAAGTAGTATTATTAGAAGTACTACTATTAAAAGTGGTAGTATTAGAAGTAGTATTATTAGAAGTAGTAGTAGTATTAGAAATACTAGTAGTATTAGAAGTAGTAGTATTATTAGAAGTAGTAGTAAGGCAAGGCAAGGCAAGTTTATTTGTATAGCACATTTCAACAACAAGGCAATTCAAAGTGCTTTACATAGAGCATAAAAGGCATCAAGACAGAATATAAGAGCAACACAAGTAAAAGACATAAACACAATTAAAAAGTGTTGAATTTGGAAATAAAAAGAAATTTAAAATGAGTAAGACAGATAAAACGGGAGAATAAAAGTTACAGTGCAGTGTAAAAATATTAGCTCTCAAGTTTGGTTTAATAAAAGTCAGTGGCAAACAGAAAAGTCTTCAGCTGTGATTTAAAAGACCTAAGAGTTGCAGCAGACCTGCAGTTTTCTGGGAGTTTGTTCCAGATATGTGAAGCAAAAAACTGAACGCTGCTTCTCCATGTTTAGTGTTTACTCTGGGGATAGAAAGCAGACCTGTCCCAGATGACCCGAGAGGTCTAGATGGTTCATAATGTAGCAGCAGATCAGAAATGTATTTTGGCCCTAAACCATTCAGTGCTTTATAAACCAATAGCAGTATTTTAAAATCAATTCTTTAACAGACATTAAGCCAGTGTAAAGATCTGAGAACTGGAGTTATATGATCCACTTTCTTGGTCTTAGTAAGGACTCGAGCAGCATCGTTCTGAATCAGCTGCAGCTGCAGCTGTCTGATCGATTTTTTAGGGAGAACTGTGGAAACACCGTCACAGCAGTCAAGTCTACTGAAAATTAATGCATGGACAAGTTTTTCCGAATCCTGCTGTGACATAAGTCCTTTAATTCTTGATATATTCTTAAGGTGACAGTACACTGACTTCCTAATTGTCTTAATGTGGCTTTTGAAATTCAGGTCTGAGTCCATGACTACACCAAGATTTCTGGTTTGGTTTGGAGCTGAGTGCTGACATTTAATCGTTCTTCCTTGGCTCCAAAAACAATTACTGCAGTTTTGTCTTTGTTTAATTGAAGAAAATTCTGGCACATCCAATTGTTGATTTGTTCAATGCACTCATTCAGTGCTTGTATTGGACCATAGTCACCTGGTGATATGGTTATGTAAATTTGTGTGTCATCTGCATAACTGTGGTAGCATATTTTGTTGTTTTCCATACTCTGAACTCGTGGGAGCATGTAGATGTTGAACAGAAGAGGCCCCAGAATGGAGCCTTGGGGAACTCCGCATGTCATTTTTGTCCGCGTGTAATTACCTATAGATACAAAGAACTCCCTGTCCTTTGAGTAGGATTTAAACCAACGATATCAGAAGAAGGACCGCCTTGCATTTCTCAGTTCCAAATTATAAATGTGAAGTCTCTCTTTATAGATATCATGATGAACCTGGACATTTGTTTTTCGCCACCTGCGTTCAGCTTTTCAACACTCTTTTTTCCATTCCGACAGGTGTGGCATTTCTCCATGGAGATCATTTCTTACGAGACAACCTTCACCTTAGTGGGTGCAATGGCATCAATAACATTTGTAATTTTAGAACTGAAATTATCTACAAGCTCATTGAGAGACCCTAGAGAGGGCAGGTGTGGAAGAGAAAGCCTGAATAAATATTTCACTGGTGCTTTCAGTGATATACCGTTTTGTGATTACTTCTGTTTTAACATTTGTGTGCAAGGAGATATCACTCTCAAAGAAAACACAGGAATGATCAGAGAGAGCAACATCAGTCACCACAACCTTAGAAACGTTCAGACCCCTTGGAGTGTGCCCCTTGTTATGTGTAGGCTCTGTCACATGCTGAGTCAGTCCATAGTTATCAAGACACAGTTCTTTAGTCCTTTTGTCCTGGGGGTTGTCAACATGGATGTTAAAATCACCAACAATAACTACACAGTCGGAGTCAATACAAATTATAGAGAGCAGTTCAGTGAAGTCATCAAAAAAGGTAGCACAGTATTTAGGTGGCCTGTAGATATTTAGAAATATAGCTCGAGAGTAGGAATTCAACTGAAGAGCCACATGTTCCAAAGAATCAAAGTTTCCATAAGACATCTGTTTGCACTGGAGGGAATCCTTAAACAAAATGGCAACTCCACCTCCTTTCTTATGCACTCTAGCTTCACTCATAAAACTGAAGTTGGGAGGGGTTGACTCAAAAAGAACAGCTGCACTGTTATCTTGGTCTAACCAAGTTTCAGTTAAAAACATAAAATCAAGGTTGTGCTCGATGATAAAATGTTTTTCCTTTAATAAAGCTAAATTTAATGTGTTGTGATGTAATGTGCAATATTATCTAACTATCAAGTATTATAAGTAGTAGTAGTATTAGAAGTAGCAGTATTAGAAGTAGCAGTATTAGAAGTAGTAGTATTATTAGAAGTAGTAGTGTTAGAAGTAGCAGAATTAGAAGTAGTAGTATTAGAAGTAGTAGTATTATTAGAAGTAGTATTATTAGAAGTAGCAGAATCAGAAGTAGTAGTATTAAAACTAGTGGTAGTATTAGAAGTAGTAGTATTATTAGAAGTAGTAGTATTATTAGAAGTAGTAGTATTAAAAGTAGTAGTATTAGATGTAGAAGTAGTAGTATTAAAAGTAGTATTATTAGAAGTAGTAGTAGTAGAAGTAGTAGTATTTGAAGTTGTAGTATTAGAAGTAGTAGTATTAGAAGTAGTAGTATAGTATTGGTGCAGTCAGTCCTGAGGTGACAGCTCTATCACTGACGCCACCAGCAGAGAACACAGATCAACAAATAGCAGTTCATCCTGTTTCCAGACAACAATAAAAACAATAAACCCCTGTGAAGATAAGTGCAATCATTCCTGTCGTGTTCCTGCTCAGGCTGATAAGACGTGGACGTCAGCAGCTCGTCCACACACTCATATTACAACACACACACACACACACACACACACACACACACACACACACACACACAGAGGAACACTCCCTCCCTGTGTGTTTGAACAGATATGCATTTTTCACCTCTACAATGGACTTAATTCAACTCTGCAGACTCAGGTTTCAAGACTTTTCCAGGATGTCACCAGGACATTTTCAGTGACACACCCTCAGCCAATACTGTTCTGTCACTTTGTGAAGAAGTGCGTCAGTGTGACTTTACCCTCTGATAAACACACCTGCTGTGACCCTGAGGTCAGGTGTGATGGATGGACAGATCAAAGGCTCTGGTTAAAGACCTGGGAACGTTCACGTCTTCAAGGACCAGATCTTAGAGCTGCAGCCATTTATCAATTAATCAATCAACCAATTAATCAACTTGTTAATTTCAAACATCATACAAACCATGAAAGGAGCCGCCTGATTGGGTGAAGAGGCCGTCAGTCCTCCAGTGATTTCATGTCCAGTCAGTAAAGGTGATTATCACATCTCTAACATTAGCTCTACTTATACTGATGACATCACTGTGACATCACAATGTACCTGGTTGATGACGTAGACTCCGTAGTCGAGCTGCTGCCTGTGCAGGATGGGGTGCAGGTAGTACAGCCAGTACTTCAGGTGTTCTTCTCGGTTGCGGAAAGGGATGATGATGGCGACTTTCTGCAGCGCCTCACAGTCTCTGGGTCTGGAGCGCCCCCCCAGCTGCAGGTTGAGGTTGTCCTTCTTTATCTGCTCCAGGGTCACCGGAGTGTTGAACTCCACCCGCAGAGGCCCCACTAAGGACGGAGCACAGGTACAGTCACTACAGGTGAACTACAGGTGAACAGGTAACTCTCCTCTAACTGCAACTTAACCCAGAGTTCAGTCTCATCTGCTCTGTTAACCAGCAGTTAACCAGCAGTTAGCAGTTCTGTTAACCAGCAGTCGTTCCCAAACTGCTGCTGAATAAACCAGTATTTAGTAATAACACAACATGAACCAGGTTCCAGTGTTCAGATGAATTTAAACTGATGATCAGAGTAAGAGATATGAGAAACTTCACTAACTGATCAGAAACATTTACACCAATGCCATCTATCAATCCAGAACAGTGAGGTGTCTCATGTTGAGGTGAAGGGTTAAAGTCTGTTCTCTGGTTTGTTCTGAGGCTGAAGGAAACTGTTTCCACACTCCAGCAGAGATTCAGAGTTTCAGATTTTCAGTGTGTAATCACACAAATATGTTCCTGGTGTAAGTCCAGACGGATCATTGGCACACTCAGCTCTGTTCTGACTGACACACTGAGGAGAGAGGAGTCAGAGACCGGTTTGAGGTCAACAACCTCGATCAGGATTCACAGTAAACACAACATGTCCGCTGCACAGTGGACTGTAAACCACAACTGATTCCACACAGACGTTAAACACAGAGCTGAATATAATGTTATTGATCATGAACAGAATCGTCATCACTGAGCTCAGATCAGTCACAGTCATCAGTAATATCAGATATGATCCATGATGAATCAGTCCAACACAAAACATCACTCAGAACCAGGTCTCATAGTATTTCATCAGAGCAGGACAGTTTCTGTATGAACATGTCAGGTTCTCCTCTCATTCTGGTTCCAGGTGGATTCTGCTGGTTTGTTGGCGGTGAAACCACAGGATTGATATTTAACTGAGCTGTGATCTGAACATGAAACAGCTGATACTTTTAAATGATCAGCTGATCTGAGTGCAGATCAATACTGTCAACAGTCTACAATCAGACACTACCCTTTGAAACAGTAAATAATGGAAAATCAATATGTGGCCTTCAGGGTCGATCAGTGCGTGGCAAACACTGACTTCACAATGATTCACCTATATGTGTTTTTATTCAACATGAGGCTGATTGACAGTTGATCACATCAGACTGACCTGCTGTCAGTCACCTGACTCTGATGATGCAAGATGACATCACCGCAGATGTCCAGTCAGAGTATGACTGTCAGTCATGTGACTTCATGTTTACTCCTCTTGTTTGTATAAAGTCAGAGTGACCATGGACCCACCACAGATCACCACTGTTTTTACTTCCTGGTGTCAGGTCTTTCCCAGCATGCAATGGGTGACAGGAATGTGGTCTTTCACAGAGGTGACAGTGTTACCTGTGAGCTGCAGTTACCCGACATCTTCATGTAAACCAGAAACAAGTTTACTGTCAATGGGATTAGAGACACCAGGTAACACACCTGAAACCTGAGAACTGTTACTGTCAGAGGTGGGTCTCTAATACTTCCTCATGTGAGTCCATCACATAGACAGAGTGAGTGCAGAGGGATCAGGACTCCTGTTAGTAGCATTAAAACCTTTAACTCAGACTGATGACAAAATAAAGAGTCTAAATAAAATCTCTTGACAGAGTCAAGGCGAATCTAAACACGCTCTGTAGTTTAACACTAGTTACACAGTAACCAGGTTAATGAAGTGCAGCCATAAACCTGCTGACAAGGTCCAGAACACTGAACATGACACACACACAATCAGTCTGTTCATGAACTGACACCACAGAAGAAGAAAACCACGTTAGTGCAGTGTGTCAGGTCCTGTGACGTAGATACAGTGTGTGAGTCTGAAGCAGAAGTTCATCAGAGGATTTTAGTGTCTCACAAATACAAAGGTCAGACTGGATTCAAGCATCATTAGACAACAGTTAGTCCAGACCAAGTGATCTGAATGGACGAGAGGCATTCACTGAGAGCTGATAGAGCGAACAACAGCACTGGGACTTTAAACTACATGTATCACTCCGCTTACAGGAACTATCTGATGAGGGGCTGAAGGGAGATCATGGCAGTGGGGGGCACAGGTGAGATTCTTAATATAGACACAAAGAGACCACAGGGGAATTCATACTGAGTTATGAAACATGTGAAAACTTCGCCCACAGAGAGCAGAGGACAATGGAGCAGCGTCCAGACTGATCAGACTGTCACCTGACTATTTCACCGGATACACAATAAATGGAAACACATTTACACAAAAACAACATTTACATAAAAGTAGCAGCTAGTGTGCAGGTCAGGGAAATGTCTGTGTTTCTTAGCAACAATCCAACTGCACAAACAAATCATAATCTGTTGTTGCTTATTACTGTTAATGAACATGGCCCTGGTAGAACTGGTGTATAAAAGCTGCCATGCTGTGATATTGCTTTATTATTTTAACGAGTGTAAGCAGTGACCATGTGTTTTGTCTTCCAATTGCCCTACTTGTTGTTACTGTTGTTTATTGATTTTATTATTTCACGTTGTTAACATCAACCTGCCAAAGGGACTGCAGATGGAAATTAGCCGCTTGGCTATAATCTGGCATACTTACATGTATATGTTCATTAATATGTACTGTCATAAACTCCAAACTCCAAGGAAGTCGAGATGTGACATCACATCAGACTCATTAAATATCTGAGTATTTTAATGTTTTACTGAGATTAAACTGTGTTTGTCTCTAGACTCAGACCTGATGAGTTCAGTCTGGAGGTTTTGAGAGCAGACTGAGCTGAGAGACATGGGGGGTGGGGGGGGTGGGGTCCCAGCTGAGGAAACAGGCCATCAGTCTGATAACAAACATCTTTCTCTGAACCTCAAAGTTACACAAACTGATCAAACTGAGATGAGCTCAAGGATCTGAAATAGCACAGCTTCACCTCATGCTGCCCCATCGAGAAACACATCAGACCTGCAGGGTCCAAATCTGGGACCCTGGGGTCTAAACCTGCTTCTAAACCTGCTTCTAAACCTGCAGGGTCCAAACCTGTATAAACTGCACATTGTTATTAGAGACATATTTTATGACTCCAACAATCAGTTGATTTATTAATTAGTCTACTGAAAGAAAATCAATCATCATTACTGATCTAATATCTAAGATCTATTTGTCACAATTCATTAAAATCCACAGTGATGTTATCAAATGATTCGGGAACAGCAAGTCTGTGTCTTATTAATTACCTGAACAACTAATTGATTATATAATAGAAATAGTTGCCGATTATGATTAGATTAACTGATGTAGTAACTGACTCTACAGTTTTAAACCTCCATCTGTTCCCTGAGGCCTCAGCTCTTCTTCTGTTGTCTACCTGAGGAAACAAAATCTGACTGAGAGAAACTTTTAATACGTCACATTATTTATGGAGAAAATAACTGTTGGATTAATTGATTCTTCTCTGTCTGTAAAGTCTGTAAATTATAGAGAGATGTGTTCTGCGAGCTGACATGATAAAAATTTTTAGTAAATAAATAAAGTCCTGTCTTGTAAGCTGATCCTCCTCAAACAATGAAGACACCATCTGCCTCAGTCACCAACACAAACATCTGGTTTTCTACAGGCGGTCTCCTCAGAGACTTGTAACGCTGTCAGCTGCTGCTGCTGGCTGGGCTCTGTATATCCACCACAGCTAATCAGAGGGCAGAGTTTCAGTCTGCAGCTCTAACCCCTCTCTCACGCTGAACTGGAGGAAGACTCAAAGTCAGAGCTGCTGAGAGCGAAGAAGAGGAAGAGGAGGAGGATCTTCTACTGAGGCTGTGATTGGCTCAGAATCCGACATCTGGAAACAGGCGTGTCTCAGTGTGATGTAGCTCTATTGAGGAGATATTAGACTTCAGTCCATGGTGACATCCGGAGACCAGGCTGTCCAAACCCCCAAAACCCCCAAATCCCTCAACACTGTGGTGGACTCTGGTTTGATGTTTTAACTGTAGTTATGTTGTGTGGCTTTCTGTCTCCCTATTTTAAGTCTCTGTCTGGTCTCTGGTCTGTTTGGTCTCTGTTCAGTCTCTGGTCTGTTCGGTCTCTGTTCGGTCTCTGTCTGGTCTCTGTCTGGTCTCTGTTCGGTCTCTGGTCTCTGTTCGGTCTCTGGTCTCTGTCTGGTCTCTGTTCGGTCTCTGTTCGGTCTCTGTTCGGTCTCTGTTCGGTCTCTGTTCAGTCTCTGGTCGGTCTTTGTCTGGTCTCTGTCTGGTCTCTGTTCGGTCTCTGTTCAGTCTCTGGTCTCTGTTTGGTCTCTGTTTGGTCTTTGTCTGGTCTCTGTCTGGTCTCTGTCTTGTCTCTGTTCGGTCTCTGTTCAATCTCTGTCCGGTCTCTGTTCGGTCTCTGTTCGGTCTCTGTCCGGTCTCTGTCCGGTCTCTGTCCGGTCTCTGTCCGGTCTCTGTCCGGTCTCTGTCCGGTCTCTGTCCGGTCTCTGTCCGGTCTCTGTCCGGTCTCTGTCCGGTCTCTGTCCGGTCTCTGTCCGGTCTCTGTCCGGTCTCTGTCCGGTCTCTGTCCGGTCTCTGTCCGGTCTCTGTCCGGTCTCTGTCCGGTCTCTGTCCGGTCTCTGTCCGGTCTCTGTCCGGTCTCTGTCCGGTCTCTGTCCGGTCTCTGTCCGGTCTCTGTCCGGTCTCTGTCCGGTCTCTGTCCGGTCTCTGTCCGGTCTCTGTCCGGTCTCTGTCCGGTCTCTGTCCGGTCTCTGTCCGGTCTCTGTCCGGTCTCTGTCCGGTCTCTGTCCGGTCTCTGTCCGGTCTCTGTCCGGTCTCTGTCCGGTCTCTGTCCGGTCTCTGTCCGGTCTCTGTCCGGTCTCTGTCCGGTCTCTGTCCGGTCTCTGTCCGGTCTCTGTCCGGTCTCTGTCCGGTCTCTGTCCGGTCTCTGTCCGGTCTCTGTCCGGTCTCTGTCCGGTCTCTGTCCGGTCTCTGTCCGGTCTCTGTCCGGTCTCTGTCCGGTCTCTGTCCGGTCTCTGTCCGGTCTCTGTCCGGTCTCTGTCCGGTCTCTGTCCGGTCTCTGTCCGGTCTCTGTCCGGTCTCTGTCCGGTCTCTGTCCGGTCTCTGTCCGGTCTCTGTCCGGTCTCTGTCCGGTCTCTGTCCGGTCTCTGTCCGGTCTCTGTCCGGTCTCTGTCCGGTCTCTGTCCGGTCTCTGTCCGGTCTCTGTCCGGTCTCTGTCCGGTCTCTGTCCGGTCTCTGTCCGGTCTCTGTCCGGTCTCTGTCCGGTCTCTGTCCGGTCTCTGTCCGGTCTCTGTCCGGTCTCTGTCCGGTCTCTGTCCGGTCTCTGTCCGGTCTCTGTCCGGTCTCTGTCCGGTCTCTGTCCGGTCTCTGTCCGGTCTCTGTCCGGTCTCTGTCCGGTCTCTGTCCGGTCTCTGTCCGGTCTCTGTCCGGTCTCTGTCCGGTCTCTGTCCGGTCTCTGTCCGGTCTCTGTCCGGTCTCTGTCCGGTCTCTGTCCGGTCTCTGTCCGGTCTCTGTCCGGTCTCTGTCCGGTCTCTGTCCGGTCTCTGTCCGGTCTCTGTCCGGTCTCTGTCCGGTCTCTGTCCGGTCTCTGTCCGGTCTCTGTCCGGTCTCTGTCCGGTCTCTGTCCGGTCTCTGTCCGGTCTCTGTCCGGTCTCTGTCCGGTCTCTGTCCGGTCTCTGTCCGGTCTCTGTTCGGTCTCTGTTCGGTCTCTGGTCTCCGTTTAGTCCCTGTTCAGTTTCCTGGTCTGTGACCCTCAGGGACCTGGTCTGTGACCCTCAGGGACCTGGTCTGGGACCCTCAGGGACCTGGTCTGTGTTCACCAACTGTGTCAGAAACTGTTTTTTGTTTCCTTCCTGTCAGCTGCTGGTTTCACTTCCATCTGTATGTAAATCCTTTAACTGCTGCTTGTGTAACAAAACTTTAAATAACTCATTAAACACCTGACAGACTGACTGAAACAACAGTGGAGCTGCAGACAGGCGGGACAGGTGAGACAGGTGGGACAGGTGGGACAAGTGGGACAGGTGAGACAGGCGGGACAGGTGGGACAAGTGGAACAGGTGAGACAGGTTATAGACAGTTATTAATGTTGGTTTATAACAGTTATAGACAGTTGTTAATGTTGGTTTATAATGTTATAGACAGTTATTAATGTTGGTTTATTACGGTTATAGACCATTATTAATGTTGGCCTTATAACAGTTATAGACAGTTATTAATATTGGTTTATAATGTTATAGTGAATTATTAATTTTGGTTTATAACAGTTATAGACAGTTATTAATAATGGTTTACAACGGTTATAGACAGTTATTAATGTTGGTCTTATAACAGTTATAGATAGTTATTAATGTTGATTTATAATGGTTATAGTAATTATTAGTGTTGGCTTATAACGGTTATAGACAGTTCTTAATGTTGGTCTTATAATGGTTATAGACAGTTATTAATGTTGGTTCATAATGTTATAGTGAATCATTAATTTTGGTTTATAACGGTTATAGACAGAGTTTTTAATGTTGGTTTATAACAGTTATAGACAGAGTTTTTAATGTTGGTTTACAACAGTTATAGACAGTTAATAATGGTTTTTAACGGTTATAGACAGTTATTAATGTTGGTCTTATAACAGCTATAGATAGTTATTAATGATGGTTTATGAGAGTTATAAACAGTTATTAGTGTTGGTTTAGAAAACGGTTATAGACAGTTATTAATGTTGGTTTATGACGGTTATAGACAGTTAATAATGTTGGCCTTATAACTGTTATAGACAGTTATTAATGTTGGTTTATAATGTTATAGTGAATTATTAATTTTGGTTTATAACAGTTATAGACAGTTGTTAATGTTGGTTTATAGTGATTATAGACAGTTATTAATGTTGGTCTTATAACAGTTATAGATAGTTTATTAATGTTGGTTTATAACAGTTATAGACAGTTATTAATAATGGTTTATAACGGTTATAGAGAGTTATTAATGTTGGTCTTATTACAGTTATAGATAGTTATTAATGTTAGTTTATAACGGTTATAGTAATTATTAGTGTTGGTTTATAATGGTTATAGACAGTTATTAATGTTGGTTTATAATGGTTATAGCTGAGGTCAAACATGTGGAGGAGTGACCACAGAAAATAACTTCCACTATTTTAATTGCACATGAACAGAAAGATGACAGAAACTGAATGAGCCAATCTTTCTAATACACTTTGAGTATTTCACATGTTTCCTATCTATATAAAAGGTGAGGCTGTGTAAACCCCAGGTCTCTCATGACTGAAGAAGCAAAGGTTGAACAGAATAAAGAGATGGGAGCAGTCTGACAATAATTCAACAGAAAATGACTCATCAGTGCTGTTGATAATTGATTCATCATTGATGTGATTATTTGTTCTAAATCACGTGTGAGAATTATCTGCCGGTTTTAACTCATTTAAAGTAAATTAAACAGTTTTGAGTTTAACACTGATGTCGTCATGAAGATGTTTATTTAACTGTGATGACAGACTGCAGAAACACCTCTGATGGAGACTCCTTCAGTCACTGTTTAACATCTGTGAAACAGAAGAACCGGCCTCTGGTTGGATTTCCCCTTAAACGAAACCTCTCTCACCCCCACAGCTCCTCACATTTCTGAGGTGAAACGACTTCACTCTCAGGCAGGAAATGAGACAGTCTTACCCAGCAGAGGTGATGTCTCAGGGCATTTCTGCAGCTTCTTCTCCGGCTCCTCTGCCTGCTTCGCCTCCGGGTGATGTTCCGGGGGCTGCGGTTCGTCTCTCGGCTCCGCCTCAGGTCGGTCCCTCTTGGACTCGGCCTTCTTCAGCTCGGCTCTGGAAGTGAACCCGGTGTTTCTGAGATGGTTCCGCTGCGTGGCATTGTTATTGGACTGCTGGTTCTGGACGAAGGCGAACCGGATGTCCAGGGAGCGGACGTAGAACACGACAGTGACAGAGATATGGAGGAAACACAGCAGCACCACCAGCTTACATGTCCGGTGGAGGAGATTAAAGTTGACGGAGGAGTCTCCGGGCATCCTGACCGACTGATTCACCTACTTTAAACCCACCGGACGCGCTGCTTCAGTCGGCCGCTGTGAGAGCTTCAAGACCAGAAATTAACTGTTTTTCACTGTTTCCCACTGTTCTTCCTCCCGTTAACCGACCGTTAGCTGCTTCTCTTGGGCTCCATTTTTCGGTGAAGGTGGTTTGAAAGTTTTGTCCGCTGAGGTTCAGTCAAATTAAAACGAAACGTTCCCGGAAGAGAAGCCGAAAAACAAAACTAAGAGTCGTTGCAGATCTGTCACCGTCAGATAACACAGAGAAGTTAGCTTCCCCTCCGCTCAGTGAGACAGTTAACTGCTGACGCTAACGGCTACACAGGGTTAGCCGCTCGGGAACTTCGTGTCTCCGTTAAGTGGTCCCGTTGAAAACAGCTGTAAAAGATTAAAAAAAGTTCTTCCGGTGACCTGGAAACGTTCCGACGAACAACATCAACGAAAACGTTTCAACATCTGCCGCAAAAAACTGCTGGTTTTAATCAGCGACGAAAAAAGTGACGGAAAAACTCGGCAAACTTCGGTTCAGTCACCACGGAGAACCCCGAATTGTCAGGGCGACGAAATTGTCCACTACACTTCCGGTCGGGGATGTCACAATAAAACATGTTCGAATTAAATCGAATGCGTCTAAAGAGCCGCCAGAATAATTACAGACTTTTTCAGTATTTATGATTTAACAAAATGATACATTTACAAACGTTTTTACAAAACAATCAAATAAATTAGTGAAAAAATATTTACAACTTGTATCTAATTCCAAACTTGGGCTAACTTGTCAATACACTCATCTATTCTCACTCAGAGCAGCAGCTGGAACTCTGATTGTTCAGGTAATGTGTGTTGGCAGGAGTGTGTTGTGTGTTCAATTATTAATCCTTGGTTGAAAGGCAGAATAATGATACCCATTTATATCACATAGAAGGGATGATATATGACACAGAAGAGAGAGAAGATAATATCTGAAAACAAGCAGAATTAAGTGCACCAAATCCACAAAATGAAAATCAATGTGTAATACTATTTTCTAATTTATGTTTTTTTTTGTTTACTTTTTATAATTAAACACAGTGGAATTCTTCATTATTTTGTTGACTGCAGATAAAAGTAGTCTTAAATAACATTAAGTTACCCTGATTACATCAACTACACTATACTAACACTTTTCATCTACGCAAAATTTTTATAATGTGATGATGTCAAAGGTTTATTTTTCCTTGGAAAACTTGTCAAACTGCTATGTTGATAGTATGTAAACAATTTTATTTCCTAACATTTTGCATTTATTGTTACTTTATGTTATTTTTAGTGTTTATAACTATAAAACTTTCAGCAAAATCAGTATACAAAAGACAAAATGGCCAGACATAAAAACCAACACCAGTCCTTGCGTTCCACTTATTCCAGCCCCATTGCAAGTATTAGGCTTTTATTTTGAAGGAAGATGTACCATATTTCCGGGTGTTGTCGTGCACTTGTGGAGTAGATTCAGCAAGAGGCGTGGTTCCCGCATGTGTCAATCTGTGACGTTCCATTACCGCCCACCACCAAATTTATCATTATTGATCTGAATCAGTGATCAATGAACACTGATCAATGTCTCTAAATCACTGCTCAATGTCCCAAAATCACTGGTCAATCTTTCTCTATCATTGACTATATCATTGATCTTCTGAATCATTGATCTCTGTTTGATCAGTCCTTTATCAGGTCACAATCCTTGTGATATCAAATCCTGATTTATTGATTTATAAAACTTGTGTCGTCTGTAAGAAAAATAAACTGTTGACTTGCTTTTTGTCATTAGAGTAACTTTACCGTCAGTGTACAAGTGACGTGATTGGTCATATAATTTATTTATTTATAGATCAAACTGATCAGATATGTGATGGTGATTAAAGTGAAACAGAAGCGTCCTCGTGAGGTGAAAATTAGTAAATACAACCAATAGCCAAATTTGTCTGTTTTCATTATTTATTTTTATTTTTAGCTTTTACTTTTCTTGTCCATTGTTTTATTTTCTTATTCATTTACTTATTTTTTGTTTTCTCTCATTTAATTTTACTTCATTTTATGTAAATCAGAGTTAACAGTTAACTGATAAAGTCCGAATTAACAGATAAAGTCAGAGTTAATTGATAAAGTCAGAATTAACCGATGAAGTCAGAGTTAACTGATAAAGTTAACTTAATAAGTTAACAGATAAAGGTATAGTCAGAGTTAACAGATAAAATCAGGGTTGACTGATAAAATGAACAAATAAAGTCAGAGTTAACAAATGAAGTTAAGTGATAAAGTCAGAGTTAACTAATGAAGTTAACTTAATAAGTTAACAGATAAAATCAACTGGTAAAGTCAGAGTAAACTGATAAAGTCTGAGTTGAGTCAGAGTTAACAGAATCTCTTTGTGTTTTCGATTCAGACATGTGAGACTGTGAAAAGTTATAACAAGCATTTTTCACTATTTCCTGTCATTATACAAAAAGTGATCAGCGGACTAATTAATAGTGAAAATAATTATTAGATGCAGCTTTAGTTGAATACAGATTCTACCAGTGAAGAGGTCAGTAAAGGGACTGAATGCAGCTGGTGCAGATTCTCAGGTTTAACATAGATCTCAGTCACATTCAGGCTCATCACCATCAGCTGAACATGGAGACAACACTCAGGGGAAACACCATCTTGTTAATGACCGTTTCACTCAGAGCTGGATTAAACACCTGGGGGTCCTGAAGCAAATATTTGTTGTTAGTTTCATTATTTCCCAAGAGAAACCAGCAGGACAAACAAATACAGCCTACATTAAGACTTTTACTGCACTCACAACACTGGACACGCAGCAGCAGGTGACACACCTGAGTTGACACAGTGTGACAGTAACAGATTATCTAATCACGGTTTATACATTATTATTATTATTATTATTATTATTATTATTATTATTATTATTATTATTATTATTGTTGTTGTTGTTATTATTGTTATTACTATCATAAGCATTATCATTATTATTAGCATTATTATTATTACATGTTAAGAACACTTGATTTGATTAATTTTTCCTCCTGAAACATGGGACAGAAAAAGTTCCTGATCGCAGCAGAGCAACGTGCTGACGTCACGGCTGTACGTCGGCTGTGGCTCGCTGTGGAGGAATGTGCGGAAACTTCTCCGTGGACACTTTTCTCTCCGCGCTGTCCGTCGAAGAAAATAAAACCACGAAGCTGCGGGAAAGTTCCCGAAACTCGTGTAAAGTTTGGATCGGAGGAGTCGGTGAGTTTATGCGGGGCTGGGTGTGAGGTGTCGGGCAGAGAGTGCAGCCGCGGGCCGGGGTTAGTCCGAGCAGAGCGGCTGTAAAGTTGTTGGCAGTTGTGAGGAAAATGGAGGCGGTGAGTTGGAGAAGAAGGCGCTGTCCGGGGCTGATCAGGACCATGGCTAACACTCCGACACCGCGCCACCCACTTTACTCTCACTTTACCCGCTTTAACTTCAACTTCACTGGATAAAAGTAGAGGAAAAACTCCCTCAAACACTTTCCTCCAACTTTAAACCTGTGAACCAACATGTCGCTGTTTGATTCCCCCTCCGCGCTTCCGCAAACTAAGTTTGGTGAAACACTGACGGTTTAACATGGAGGCTGCAAATCACAACTCCACATCAGCTCCACTCACTTCAACATAAAGAGTCCGGATTCACTTTAAACGTGTCTGAGACTCACAGTGACAGACACGGTACATAATCCAGATGAAGGTTTTAATCTGGATCCAATCCCTGAAACATGGATCTTTACTCACTTTTTAACCTTTAATCTGGATTTTAAATTTCCACGTTTAACCGCGTTGTCGACGCTGAAATTGATTTTTTTTCCAGCTCCAACTGATCTAAAATAACTTAACTTTTTCTTCTTTAGTCCAAATTTATATTCAACTTTTAGCACATTTAATATTTAATCAGATGTCTGTCGACAGACGGTTTATTCTGTCTGATTTAAAGTTTTCGTCACTGTCTTTGTTCATACTGAAGAACCGGGTCGCTTTTATTAAAGTGAAATTTAACGTGTGGGACTCGGCAGTGTTAGTGAACCTGTGACACGGTCCCAGTGTGGTGGGGTAATGTCGGTGTTTTCCAGAGGGACTTCTGAACGTGTTTCTCTGTGTGGCGCTGTCGACTGAGCTGTGGTGCTGTTTCAAAATGGCCGACAGACGCATTTTCAGACAGCACATGAAACCTCTGGAGAGAAGTTGACTTTAGACAGTTGCTGTGGATTTCAGCTGTGACCATTGAGTTCAGAACTGAACTGAACTTTATCAACTTTAACTTCAGTCTCCTGAAGCTTCTGTGAGAGACTGTAAAACTCTGAGATGAGCAGCTCTCTCTGTCTTTATGTTTATATTAGTCTACTGGTCATTTGATTAACACAGATTAGAGCTACACAATTAATCAAACTATAATCAAAATCTCAATATGGTCATGTGTAATAACCAAATCACATGAGTTGCAGTTTTTTTTTTGATAAAGATGAATATGGTGTTAATTCTTAGCACCATCAGAGACGCCCTGACCTACAGATCATTTTCTCCAGACATAAAGGAACATGATTGTTTGGTACAAGACCAACAAAAATCCCATCTTCATCATTTTATATTTTTATAACACTTATAACACACACTTTTAACACACTTATTAACACTAAAATCACAATATATGCCAAAATAATCTACACATGATTTTTTGCATATCATGCAACCTTAGCACAGATGTATTAAATAATTAGCACCATGTAAGACTAATATATACCAGTGCTGAAAATATTATATTATTATAATAATAATATTACTTATTAGTATAGATATAAACTAATCTGCAGATTATTTCCTGTTGATGGTTTATATAAAACATCACAAACAGTTAAACTTGAGTTCTGCAGGTCAGTAGAGCTTAAATTCACTGTCATGTTCAGTGGTGAGTGATGAAATCACATGGTCTTCTTCAGTCACATTGTACAGATACTCTGCTACAAGTGAAAGTCCTGTACTCAGTATTTGACTGTAGTAATAGTACACAGGTGTGAGTATCAACAGTACCAGGGTTAAAGTTCTCATTCTGCAGATTGACCACTTAAGTATAATGTCTGTTACATCACTGGATTATAAAGATCAATTTATTCTGCTGAGTTAAACACACACACACACACACAACCTGTTTCTAAACAGCTGTGATGTCTGACTTTATTCTGTTTTATGACTGTAGGTTTATTAAGCTGCCACTAAATGTTCATTTTAAAACCAAATTGATCTCCGCCCAAACTAACACACCTGAAAACACATGTCACATGACAGGAAGTAGATTGTCTCCTCTGCAGTAAAGCCTCTGAAGGAGGAACAGCAGAGACAGTTGTAGCATTAAAACAGAGACTGTAAGTGAACAACAGCTGCAAAGACAACAAGGTCAGTAACTCTGTCATTCATCATCATGTTGTTTTCACCACTGGTAGTCCAGGCTGATGACAGCCAATCAGGAGAGACCGTGGGTGTGACCTCATCGTTTACAAAGGTCTCAATTTCTGTCCAGACTACAACACATCCCCAGAGTTTTCAGATTAAAACACAACCCAGAGTTTTCAAAATAAAACAACCCCAGACTTTTCAAAATAAAACACAATCCCAAAGTTTCAAAATTAAATACAACCCCAGAGTTTTCAAAATAAAACAACCCCAGAGATTTCAGAATAAAACAGGCCCAGCACAGTCTCTGTTTTCAGGGTTTGAAAACTCGAGTCGTTTGAACGGAGGAGGAAACAGAGAAGAAGAAATTAGTTTTAAAACAAAAGCATGTTAGTGTGGATGGAGCCTTACAGTCTGTCTCTCAGTGTGATGCAGACCTGTATTCAGTTGTTGACCTCTGACCTGTGCATCATCATGTGGTCATTGACCTCTGACCCTCATGTCGTTGCCTCTGCAGCTTTTTGTCTCTGAGGTGAAGAGCTGAAGTCAGTATGGCTGCTCAGACTGTGTTCTCGGTGGAGATGTTTCCTGTGGGTGTGTCTCTGATGGAGGATGCTCAGAGTCTCAGCGACATGCCCAGGAACACACTGCCCGCCCCTCAGCTGGTGATGTTGGCCAACGTGGCAGCAGTAACGGCAGCAGAGAGCGGTGGCGGCGACGGCAGCGCGGCCGACGAGAAGGAGATGATGGAGCTGAAGACGGTGGGAAGCAGCTACTCAGACAGCGAGGACGAGAGCATCATCAGGTGAGGAGCGCCGCTGCTGAAAATCACTGGTCTTTACATGACCCTGTTACATGTGTGCTGACTCACCTGTGTGTTCACTCACCTGTGTGTTCACTCACCTGTGCCCAGGTACAGCTATGACAACCAGAACCACAGGGAGGTGTGTATCATCGAGTATCCAGAGTCTCCAGGTGTGAGCATCGAGGCCGTGGTTGTGGGGAACGAGGTGGAGGAGGAGGAGGAGGAGGAGGAGGGCAGGGTCAAAGCTGAAGACCTGTCCCGCCGCCCTCAGCCCTGCCCCCCCGCCTCCACTAAAACGCCTCAGAAGGACGCTAAATGTAAAGACGGCCCTATTGTTGCGGTGACTGAGAGCGTGAAGAAGAAGAAGCCGTTCCACTGTAAGCCGTGTCACTTCCAGGCGCAGAACGAGCAGGAGTTCGTGGAACACCTGAGCTCCCACAGCGTCAGCAAGATGATGGTGGTGAACCGGGTGGAGGGGCGGAGCAAGACCAAGACCAAGGAGGCAGAGACACCTGAGGCCCGCGCTCCGTCAGGAGGGGAGGTGGACGGCAGCGGGGAGGCGGGAGCCATGGCGACGGCAGGTGACATCAAAGGGCTGATCAGGTGTGAGCGGTGTGGATACAACACCAACAGATACGATCATTACATCGCTCACCTGAAGCACCACAGCAAGGAGGGGGAGGACCACAGGTAACAGAAAGTCAGGTCTGACTTTCAAAACAAAACAGTAATTAAATGAGAATGTCCAGACCTGACTGGTGTGTGTGTGTGTGTGTGTGTGTGTGTGTGTGTGTGTGTGCAGGGTGTTTAAGTGCACTCTGTGTCCGTACACCACCGTCAGTCAGTACCACTGGAGGAAACACCTGAGGAACCATTTCCCCAGCAAACTGCACACCTGCAGCCAGTGCTCCTACTTCTCCGACCGCAAGAGCAACTACATCCAGCACATCAGGACCCACACAGGTCAGTCTGGCTCTGAGTCTCTGGGTCCAGGTGGTCCAGTACCGGTTCTTGGAGTGAACTCAGACTAATGAAAGTTATTATCATGTGAACAGGGAGATGAAGAACCAGGTCTCTAAAATATGAATGAGTGAATGAGATTTGATCAGCTGACCATCTTCTCTTCTCTCTGTCTCTTTCTCTCTCTCTTTTTCTCTGTGGGTTGATAAAACATCAAACATTTCAGTCTGTATCCAGGTGACCATGTGATGTGTGTGTTGTGTGTCGTACAGGTGTGCGTCCTTTCCAGTGTCCATACTGCGACTACTCCAGCTCACAGAAGACTCACCTGACCCGACACATGAGGACTCACTCAGGTGGGTCGTCCACAGTATTTTTAAATCTTAGATACAGAAACAGGTCCAGGTGAGTGGAGGAGGTCTAGAGGACCACCACAGTCATGAATCTGTCCCTGATCAGTGAGGTCATCCTCCAGGATTCAGTGACTGAGACACAACTGGACTCGACCTTTGACCAGGTGGTGAGCCACAGGTGTGGACTGGTGTCACATGACCTGGGCTAGAGTCAGTCCAGAGTCCTGAATCTGAGTCCAAAATCACTTTGACTTTTTCGTCAACGCCGGTGATGAACACACGAGCAGGGACTTACCTGCTCCTCTTACCTGAACACTGGCATTACACGAAGGAACTGAACTGAGACTGTGATGGTGAATCAAACCAACAACAGGTAAAAACTGGTAGCAGAACCTTTTAACAGATAAACATCAAGAGAAGTTGAACTTTGGTTCTAAAACCAGTTCTGGTCTCAGACTGTCCTTCCTGAGTTTGTGGTTGTAGTTGTGTAGAAGTCGTAGTGTTTGACTAGTCTTTACACCTAGAACCATCCAGAATCAAAATCCAGGTCTGGTTCCTGAGTTCCTCCACAGGTTGTGGGTCTGACAGCTCAGACTGTTAAACTCTGAGACAGGAACCTGGTGCATCATCACTGACAGTCACTGAGTATTGTTTTGTTTGTTCCTGTCGTCACTCACTGTTACTCTTCTGTTTGTGTTGCTCTCACTGACGCAGTGGATTAACACGGTAAAGTAGTTTTCATGCTGTCACTTCCTGTGTTGTGTTATTTTTTGTGTCTGTTGTTATTCACCTCACCTGTACACACTTGTACATCTACAACACTCCTCAGGTCAGGTCTATCTGCCCTGGTGTGGACCTGATCCTCCTGCATGAACAGTCTCCTCTCAGTCCAGTGTTATTGACGTCATCTGGTCTCCATGAGCTTCGTTCAGTCTGAGCCTCGTTAGTCACAAACATTTATTGTTCAACAAACCAGGACAAAGATTTAAAATGTACAGACGTGATTATTGATTAGTCTCTAATAGATCAGAACCATAGAGTATAATGATGTTCAGACTAAAGTCAGAATGTGTAGGTCTCATAAAAGGGACACAGTAAAGGCCACGCATACAGAAACAAGGGAACTTTTTTTGTTGCCAGGATCCTTGTTGCCAAGCTTTTTTTTCATCTGTATAAACACCCCCGAGAGGCAAGTGATCCTGGCAAAAAAATTCACTTCACTTTCAGGGCTTCCCTACATGCACTCTGACTGATTGTAATAATTCATCAGCTAATAATAATTAATCACATCGACACGTTTGTGATGTCTCAGGTTTGGTCGTTGAGACAGACACTGTCGGTACTGAGGCAGATCACTGCTCAGCTCCAGGTGAAGACGACAGTAACATCAGTTCCTCTGAAAGATCACTGATTAATGAAAAGGTCGTTTATAAAATTAATTTTAGAACAAAGACCATCTGGGTGAGAAAATATTCTGTCTACTGAATGATAAATGTTCATGAAACAAAGATGGCTGCCGATCGATTCATAATATATTAATGTCCACAGTTTGTTTGGTGTTAAGATGGAATTATGCTTCTCTGAAGACATGTAAACTCAATGCAGACCTGCGCCAGAGAAGGGTGTTATGGGTAACTGTAGGTCACACAGGCCCTGACTTGTGCATTAAGCAAGCTGATTGGTTGATCCAACTTCCTGTAGAAGAATGCAGAAGAATAATCCCGGTCTTGTAGTAAACGTACAGTCGCTGATACAGAGTCGATATCAGCTGAGGATTTCGGTCCTCAGGTGTATCTGTCAGACTCACCTGCTGCATGAAACCCTGTAGTGCCCTACCTGTACACTGCTACATTATCCACTGCTGCATCATAACATCTGACCTCTCTGTCTCCAGGTGAGCGTCCCTTCAAGTGTGAGAGCTGTAACTACCTGGCAGCCAATCAGCACGAGGTGACCCGCCACGCACGGCAGGTCCACAACGGCCCCAAACCTTTGTCCTGCCCCTACTGCGACTACAAGACTGCTGACCGCAGCAACTTCAAGAAGCACGTCGAACTCCACCTCAACCCTCGCCAGTTCCTCTGTCCGCTCTGCAAGTATGCCGCCTCCAAGAAGTGCAACCTGCAGTACCACATCAAGTCCAGGCACTCGGGGTGCAACGTCTCCGTGGACGTCTCCAAAGTCAAACTGCGTGTCAAGAAACCCAGTGCTGATGGTGCGGACGAAAGCCCAGACTCCAGAACAAACAAGTTTGACAATTCATCCAGCGTCGAGGAGGACTTCGACATGGGAGACAGGGAGGAGGACGAGGCTGTGGACTCGAGCCCAATCAATCTGTCGATCAGAAAAAGCAGCCGGCCCAGCATCGCACAACCTGTGCAGAGTGAAACACCGGACAAGGCTCAGAGGAAGTCCACCATTACCTCTGAGAGCGAGAAACCAACAAAGGTGAAGGACAAGGCAGAACCAGAGAAAAAGGTCACGACGAGGCAGAAGAAGACAGAGAAGGTCCACGAGAACCCTGCAGAGAACACAACAGTTAAAGAAACCCAGACTGAGACGATAACAGCTGCTGTAACTACAGACAGCAAGGTGAAGAGACGAGTGAAGAAGCTGCCAGCAGAGAAACTGACTGTCCAGGACCAAGCAGATGTACCTGAAGCACAAAAAGACCAAGTGAAGACAGAGAGGTCTGGACAACAAAGATCCAAGGATGAAAGAATAGTGAGGCAAAAAGTGGCTAAAGAGGAAGAAAAGATGAAGCTAGAGAAAGATAAAGAAGATCAGAAGAACGATGGCAGTGGAAAGGAGAACAAAAGCCTCAACAAGCCCAGGAAGTCTGGATCAAAGAAGTCAGAGAAAGTTACAGGAAACGTTGAAGAAGCTCAACAGAAACCAGAAAGTCCTGAGAAGAATCGCAAGGAAAAGGTGGTCAAAGAAAAGGTGGCAAAGAGGAAAGCAGTGGAGGCTCTGGATCTTTCTAAAAAGTGCTCGTCTGAGACGCTGTCCAAGACCAGACGACTGAAAGCCACAGAGAAGCTACAGTCAAAACCTGCTGCAGAAGACTCCAACAAGTCCAAGGATGCCACACCAACGCAGCACAAGTCCAACGGAACTACACCAGTGAAGAAGACCAGGAACTCCAGCAAGAAGGCTGCAGGCCTTCAACCAGCTGTGGATCCAGCTAAAGATGAGACGTCTGTCAGTCCGTCCACAGAGACTCCGTCTCCTCAGCTGGACGACTCAAAGCGAACCACAAACCACAGCCTTGCACACACCAAACCCCCCCGAGGTGAAACAACTCCAGTGGTAGAAAAGACTCTGAACGAACATTCAGAGAAGATGGAGGTAACACCCACCTGCAGCTTAGGTGGGGACACACCCTCTCCAGCTGAAGACCGACCTGCTCCCACCTTCCTTAAACCCACATCGCCACCTTCTCTGGTGCTTTCGAGCCAGCGGATCAAACCGGCCGACCCGGAGGACGACGAAGGAATCCACAGCAGTCACGAGGGGGGAAGTGACATCAGCGACAGTGCCTCTGAGGGCAGCGATGACTCCGGTCTCAATGGCAACGGTGCCGGGTCTGGTAACCTGCCAAATGACCCAGAAACGCCCACCTATGAGATCCCGACACCAACGGAGCTCAAGAGTCACATGTGCATCTTCTGTGACCGCACGTTCCCTCTGGAGGTGGAGTATCGCCGGCACCTGAACCGCCACCTCGTCAACGTCTACTACATGGACACCAGCAAAGGACAGAAATGAGGATCTGTTTCCACGGCAATGTTTTGAAACTGTGACTAATGCCACTCTGATGAATGAAAACAGAAAAGACAGTTTACCGTGTCCTCATGAATATTAACACACTAACTGAACCTGTTTCTACAGAAGGTCATAAACACTCAGATCTGACCATCAGCTGGTGTCTCTTATTTCTGTCAACATCAGTTAACGTTTGTATTGTTTAATGCCACGAGTTGATCTGATTTTCTAAATGACTCTAAATGCAGCACAGAGACCCTCAGTGTGGTCCAGGTCCAGGTCACCAAATACAGAGTCCAGATCGGGTCAATGTGGCGTCAGGATGACACTGTCCAGTATTATCACAGTGAACAACAGCAGGTGGCGCTGTCACACTTCTGAACATTAGATTACTTTTGTACCAAACCTGTGATGAAGTCTTGTCCTGACACCCGGTCTGGTGTGCTACTTGGATCTGAAACGTTCTCAACAACTTTCCAACTAACTTTACATTAAACATGAGAATACTTTGTTTTCTACGTCTGAGAGAACTGGGTTTGGATCAGTGAACTTGGGTCTGGGGTTGTGTTGGGTTCTTGGACCCTGTTATACCTGCTTCATTTAGTGACAGGTCTCTAAGGTCTAATGTCCAGGTCTTCATTGTTATGTTGAACCAGACCTGAGGGTCTGACCCGAGGTCCAGACCTGAGATCGTCTTCTCTGTAAACATGTAAACAATGTTTTTATCGTGTGTCTCGTTGACTTTGTTATTAACTGTTTTTCTTTGGATAAATTTCTAAAAGTTAATTTTTTTAAATCACTTTATTGATGATGTCATGACGTTAACGAGGTGTATTAACGGTGATGTCACTCTAACATCGACCTGCTCTGTTACAAACTGTGTTGTGATGACGATGTGACGTCAGAACAGCTGTTTGTCCAAATATTGTTTCTGAGCTGAACGTTGATTTTTCTGTTTAAACCTTCAGTGCCTTTGACAATCAGTCGTTTCTGTGACACTCGTTCTCCTGCCTGAAGTTGGTCTGACATGGAGAACATGTTTGTTGGATCACAGCTCCTTCACCAGAGGTTTCCCCTCTCCACTGTACGTTCTTCTTAGAACCATATGAGAACAGATTTAGTTAAACTGAGGCTGTAGCTGAAGAAAAAGATTAAATGCAACTTGTTTCCTTGTAAATAATTTTGTGCAATATTCCTGTTTAGTTGAGAAGCCAAAGTGAATTTCGGTGTCTGTGTAGTTTTCTTATTTCTCGTCTCCTATGATGTTTCCTCTGATGTTTCCTCAGATGATTCCTACGATGGTTCCTCTGATGATTCCTCAGATGTTTTCAAGTGACATGAAGTCAGGAAGATGAAAGTAAAAATTCTAGCAGCTAAAACTGAGAAACAAACCAGAGATCGACCAAATCTGAACTTCAGATTCACTGAGTTTGTATATTTTTTCTATCAGCAGCTGTTTGTTTTCTTCTTCTGACGTCACTGACCTGATGACACAGACTGAGGTTCACATCATTAGAACGGTCTCATGTATTGTCACCTGTCTGCAGGTAGAGGGCGCTCTTCTACAACTAACATTAAAAATTAACTGTATCATAACTGCTCTTTTTTTAATAAAGACTTTCACAATCAACAGGTTTGTTTCTGTCTTCAAAGAAAAATAAAAAAACTGTAAACATCAGTAAACAATAAACATGTATAAAGACTCATTCATAAACATATTAAATATTTCAATCATCAGGAACCAGTGACCTGGTTCTACATAGAACCAGAACCTTAAGAAAGAAGTCTCTGGTCTGACGTTCTCCTGCTGCTGTTCCATCATGTGACAGTGACAATACAACATGAACAAACATTACGTCACGTGACATCAGCATGACGTCATGTGACGTTGCTGCAGTGGCGAAAACATCCTGATGGAGCTCTAACACACACAATTCATCGAGCTGAGGTCAGAGGTGATCTCCTGTAGAGACAGTTTGTTCTTGCAAGCAACATCTGTCTGTTCTGTCCACATCTGTTTCTGCTGTCTGGACAGTCAGAGTCGGACACCTGCTCCTCTACCTGTCCCTCAGTGTCCACCTGGTTCACTTCTTCTTCTTCTTCTTCACCTGCAGCCTGTCGACTCCTCTGGACGTCAGTCCTCCGTCCAGCTGTCCCGGAGTCTTCATCAGTTTGTAGGCCGTCGATTTTTTGATGCGTTCTCCTTTCAGAGAGACGATGTGAGGGAGGAGCGGCGGCGTCCTCAGACTGAACCTTGCTGCCTCCGGACCGTGGACCCTCAACAACACCTGATCACCTTCGACTGCCGTCACTGCCACCCAACCTGCACACAGGAGAGGGACAGAAGGGAGAGGGGCAGTTCATCAACACAGATGACATAAAAATATATTTCATGGGGAAAATAACAAACAACAAAAAAAAAAGTGACGATGGAACAATCTTGTTTGTAAACACTCAGTGTGTGATGTCATGATTGACAGCTGTGACTGACTCGTGATTGGGTCCGGCAGTTGTATGGGTGGGGCCTTGATACTGTAGCCCCATCCCCTGATCAGTACGACACAGACTCACAGGGGAGGTGGAGGTCAGAGGTCAGAGGTCGGAGGTATTTACCTGCAGACGACAGTTTGACATCAGTGGCAGCCTCCAGGTAACCTCGACCCACCAACCTGAACTCCTGAGGAACCAAAGCTGGAAATTCCTTCATCCGCGCCGACCCTCCTGCAGGCACCTGAACGCACCACACACATCAGTAATATAACTGTCATCAGAACAGCTGACTGACCATGTGACCATGTGACTCACCCCCAGCAGGACGTGTCCCGCGTGTTTCTCATAAACGCTGTCGGCCTTCTCCAGACTGGTGACGTGAACCGGGACCTGACCTGAGGCCACCACTGAAAACCAGCAGGACTTGTGTCCCTGTAGAGGACGAGTCCATCAGAGACATGGTCCAAACATCAGCATGCTCAATCAACAGCTGATCAATCAATAACTGATCATCAATCAATCACAGAACATCTAGTTTTCACAGTTGCCGCAGGACGAGGAAAAAATTAGCTTCAATTTATTATCAAATTCTGCAGCTGAGACCTGGTCCTGGACCAGGACCTGGACCAGGTCTTGGTCACTGACCTGCAGGAAGTCAATCCTGGCCAGAGCCCCCACGAACAGACTCATACTGGGCTTCAGCACAAATGTCCGTGGGATGAGAGCCTGAGTGGGAACCACCGACCTCACTTCCTGTTCATTCAGCAGGCTGAGGATCTGGGCAAGAGACATTAAGACGCAGAGAGAGAGAGAGAGAGGGAGATTATTGGCCCGCCCCCTTCTGTCAGGACTCAATATGTGAGGGGGGGTCAGGTGGTCTCACATCATCCTCCTTCAGGATCCCCGGGGTGTCGTACAGCCAGTGAGCGTCCTTCAGCTCGTTGTAGGTAAACTCCTCCGGCGTCCTGCTGGGACCTGAGGTCAGAGGTCAAAGGTCAGAATCAACAAATCAGAAGGCCAGACCCCCCCAAGGTAAGTGTTCTTCTCACCTGTTGCCTCCTGCTCTTCATTTTCTCCAAACGCCAAACTGTCAGGATCAAACTGGATCTCATCGGGTCTGGATCTGATGTCAGACCGGAACGTTCTGCCAACACGACCTGACCAGGAGAACAGGTGAACAGGTGAGAACAGGTGAGGTTCCATTGTTTAACCTTGTTAACGTCCACATGATGTTGTTATATAATACAGACGTATGATGATGAAATAATCAACCTTGTCAGTACAGAGAGAGAGAGTTAGCAGTAGCACAACCGCTAACACTGTGTCAGCCACTGCCAAACACCATAAACAAATAAAAGATGCTAACTATGCTAACCATTCTGAAAAGATGCTAACTGTGCTAACTGTTATGAAAATATGCAAATTGTGCTAACCATTCTGAAAAGATGCTAACTACGCTAACTGCTCTGGAGGATGCTAACTATGCTATCGGCTCTGATCCGTCTGCTAGTCTCTGGTTCTGGTCTTAACAGACTCCTCATGTGAGTCTGGGTCTGAGTCTCTCCGATGTTTCCTCCTCTAACCATCTTGATACTCTCTGCTCTTTCACCTGTCCACCTGGAGCAAGCAGGTGGTGGGTGGGGCTCAAGGCCTGATCCAGGTTTCTGAATCAGGAAGTAAGACGAGATGAAAACATGTGAAACTAAGTATGAATCACAGCAGAGGATTTTTAGTTTAAAACATGGAGGAGTTTGGCTTCAGCAAAGGAAACATGTCATATTACTCTCCTCCCCCTCCTCCCCCGTCTTACCCACTAGATACCCCTGTCTGCTGAACTGCCTCAGCCTCCTCAGCTCGTCAGGTGACAGCTCGCTCTCCGTCTGTCTCGACGCCTCGTTCAGTCGCTCCTGACGTCTGAACATCCTGTACGGAGTCGGGTTGATGATGGGAAACTTCAACAGGTTCAGAGTCGTCCCTGAACACACCACAGCAGGAAAACACAAACACGGTCACATGATGAAGAGTCACATGACGCAGACCAACAATTTATAAACATTATGGACCAGAGAATATGAATGTGGACTGATAATTATTGATCAGTGTTCAGACAGTGAGTCATAATGAAACATCAATAAATTCAACTGGAATACTGTGAATTAAAACTGATACATACATACATACATACATATATATATATACAGTATATATATATATATATATATATATATATATATATGCTTATATACAAAGAGTAGAGTTACTAAACTTGTTTGAGTCAGGAGAAACCATGAACCACATTAAAGGCACAGTTGACGTGTTTTGACATGGGGGTGTGTGAGGTCATCATATATAGCTGCTGTGGGCGGGGCCACGAGAAAAAACCTGTCACTTTTAAAGACGCCCACTGAAACTACTACCATCTGTTTAAATGAAGCTTCATGTAGAAGATTTTCATCTTTATCTTCCTGTGAAAACAGCTCTTTCCTTTGGCACTACATTTCTCAACTGCTGAACTACCGTATTCCTGCGCACAAGCACCTACAGAGCGCACGTATCACGCCGCAGCTGCAGGTCAGCTGAGTGAATCAGAAAGAGATAAACTTCACTTTGTTTTCACAGGAAGATAAAGATGAAAATATTCTACATGAAGCTTCATTTAAACAGATGTTGGATCGTTTTTAAAAGTTTCTAAAACAGGTGTTTTTCTGGAGGCCCCGCCCACAGCAGCTCATCATCAAGTGTGTTCATCATAATCTACTGCAGGTAATGTACCGATTATATATGACAACCTCACACGCTCCCACGTCAAAAAACCTGAGCTGTCCCTTTAATGTTATTATTGTTAATGTAATTAGTGTAATAATTGAGACCACAGGTGGGCTTCTTGGTGGGGGCTGGTTCTGCTGGTTCTGGTTCTGACAAACAGTAAAGTGACAGAGGGTGGATGTGTTCTGGTTCTGACCGGGCCATGGTGAGATCGTGGCCTTGTGGATCAGGTCAGAGGCCTTGGACTTGCAGAAGTCAGAGTCCAGCAGCGTGTTGAAGAGCGTTGACTTCCCTGCGTTGGCGCTTCCCACCAGGTACACGTCACCTTTGTACTTCCAGGACCTCTGCAGGCTGGAAATCAGGGTCTCGATGCCGTACCCGGTCTTGGCGCTGATGAGGTGGAGGTCTGTGACCTGGCCCCCGAAGCCGGCCTCCTGAGAGTACTGGGCGAGCTGCCGCTTGATCCGCCGCAGATAGCCAGGCGAGTCGCCAGGCAGCAGGTCAATCTTGTTGCCGAGGACGACCACGTGCTTGTTGGTCCCCACCAGCTCGGGCAGGTCGTGGACGATGGAGTCGGGGAGGTCCAGCAGGTCCACGATGAGCAGCACCAGGGCCTGGTGGGGCCGGATCTGCCGCACCACGTCCCTGTACTGGTCTCTGGACACCTGCAGGTTCAGGGCCTTGTGGTGGTGGGTGAGCAGGTGGCAGCGCTGGCAGGTGGCCCCCCGCAGCCCCCCCCCCTGCAACAGCACCTTGTACTTCTCACTGGGCAGGTACCCGGGTGCGTTGACGGCGGCGCAGTGCAGCACGGCGCCGCAGCCCGAGCAGGTGGTGTCGCTGACAGGCTCGTCCACGTCCGGAGTCCCAAACACCTTGTGCTCACCTTTACCTGCCGCCTTCTTCTTCTTCTTCTTTGCAGCCACCAGGTTTTCATCCAGCAGGAAGTCCACATCCTGGAACTGGATTAGAGATTCAGGGTCCACCTCCTGCTGGGCCCCGCCCCTCAACACCTGCAGCTGACGCTCCAGAGACCTCAGGTGTTTCTGAGGGGGGACAGGGGGAGAGACAGGAGGGGGAGGGGAGGGGAGGGGAGGCTGGAGGACCAGGTGTTTCTCCTCCTGATGGGGATCTGGATCTGGATCTGGACCAGGGCAGAAGAGGAACACAGAGATCACTTCAAGACGAGAACCAGAACCACAGGAAACAGACCTGAACCAGGATCTGAGACCAGGACCTTTCTGAGGAGGGTCTCAGTCTTTGTGGTGGTTATTCTTCATCATCTTCATCATCTTCTTCATCATCATCATTATTGCTGTTGTTATTTATCACAACAATAATAACGAGAACAACAACAACAACAGTCTGTTATGATTAAACTCACAGCTCAGTGTTCTGACGTCACAGACCGGAAACCAGTTACCTTCAGCTACCTCACCAATAACCTGGTTGCCTTGGTTACCTGGTTACCATGTGTATAGTTAAAATCAGACCATTCCCGCCTGAAAGTCGCGGAGGAAAGACCTCAGACCCTGTGAGTCCAACAGGGTTCGGTCTTCAGGTACTGGACTCTGGTACCGGTCTGTGACGTCAGTCCCGATCTCACCTGTACAGTCTGGGAACACGAACTGTTCCTCCAGGTCCGGGTCTACGGTGCAGCCCCGGACTCTTCCTCTGTCTCTGCTGCTGAGCTGCCGGATCAGAGTCCGTCCTGAGCCCGGTACCGACCCTCCGCGGCCCGCAGAGGCCGCAGCGGGGACCTGACAGGAGACGGTCCTCCACAGCTGCCGGAGGACACACACCTGGAACACCTGGAACATCTGGAGACCGGATCCAGCTGCGAACACTGAGATCACCTTGGAGCTAGAACACACGCGCTTGTTGGCATGCAACTTCCTGGACGGATGTGACGTCAAACTCGTCGTTTGTTTATGTTCCGGTAAAAAGCAGTAGCAAGTTTTAACCTTTATTTTCAAAATAAAACCAAACATGTGGCCTGCAGGATCGATCAGCCTGAGATCATAAAATATTCATGCTCAATAAGTTAAACACGATCACCGTGACGTCACAGCTTTCGCCAGTGTGAGAGGAGACGGTGACGATAGAGGTCTCCCCCCGCTGCAACTTCAGGAACCAAGTTTAAAACTTTAATACTGAATCATGGACTTGTTGATGTTGTGTTTTTAGAAACTGTTGGTTTTTTTGTTTACAGGCTGATTGTTACTGTTGCTGCTCATCTGGAGAGTAGCAAAACAGGAGCTGTTCTCAGTCTCCAAATGTGAAGAGGAGCTGGACTCTTACTCTGCGTTGTGAGACCTCCTGTCCACTGAGGATCTCTGATCGCTGATGACTTCCTCTCCCTGCTCCCTGTTTTTCTCTCACTTTAGTTTCAACATGTTGAAGTTAAGAAGCTCCTCGCTGAGATCAGCTGCTGCTCTGATCTCACCTGCTGCTGCTCAGGTGAGTTTCACTCTAACTAACCATAACCTGACCTAACTAACCAGGACCTGACCTAACTAACCAGGACCTGACCTAACTAACCAGGACCTGACCTAACTAACCAGGACCTCAGTTCAGACTGATCAGATCTGGTCCTGCTCAGAAAACAGACAGACCACAGATTTCCTCCTCTTGAAATACTCATGTGGGTTTTATAGAAACATCAACCTGTAAACGTCACACACACACACACACACACACATACACACACACACACTCACATACACACACACACACACACACACACACACACACACTGTGGTAAAGTTAAGATCTGAGGTCTGATCTTTGGACTGATCCAGTGAGAAGTTTAAGATTAACCAACAGCTGAGGGGCCTCCACAGAGAACACAGGAAAAACCTGCAGAGACCAATTCACCTAAACGCCTCGCTGCTGTTTGATGATGATGTGTTCACTTTCCATGGATCAGATTCATGCAACAATCACTTCATTGTTCCAACAGTCTGTTATATTAATATCACACACACACACACACACACACACACACACACACACACACACACACACACACACACACACACACTCTCTCTCACACACAAACACACACACACACACACAGGGTCCATGGTCCACAGTCACATCTCACCTGTGATGTTTGATCTCGTCCAGCAGGTGGCAGCACAAACATTATTGTTCTCAACAAGTGAACAAACTTCCTGTGTTCAACTGTCTCATTAACAACAGCAACAACAATAATAATAATAATAATAATAATAATCCAGCGTCTGTCAGTGTCCAGATCCAGTCTGTAGTTGTGGTCCCAGATCTCAGCTGTCCTCTCTCTGGTCTCCAGCCTCGGGTCCACCTTTCCACTGGTCCCCAGCAGAACCACACAACCTTTTATGAGTTCAGGACCTACTGTATCCGTCCAGACCAGAACGCCGCCTTCCTCAAACTGACCAATGAGAAGATCCACCTGCGCACCGCCCACTCCAAGCTGATTGGCTACTGGGGCGTCGAGTACGGAGGCCTGAACCAGGTCTTCCATATATGGGAGTATGGTGAGGACATTCTTCTTCTTCAGTTTAAAGGGTCTTATCTTTCATGAGGTGACGTCCTGTCGTCCCCTGTCCTCCCCTGTCCTCCCCTGTCCTCACCTGCCCTCACCTGTCCTCTCCTGTCCTCCCCGTCTTCCCCTGTCCTCCCCGTCTTCCCCTGTCCTCCCCTGTCCTCACCTGTCCTCACCTGTCCTCCCCTGTCTTCCCCTGTTCTCCCCGTCTTCCCCTGTCCTCCCCTGTCTTCCCCTGTCCTCCCCGTCTTCCCCTGTCCTCCCCGTCTCCCCCTGTCCTCCCCGTCTCCCCCTGTCCTCCCTTGTCCTCACCTGTCGTCTCCTGTCCTCCCCTGTCCTCCCCGTCCTCCCCTGTCCTCCCCTGGCCTCACCTGTCCTCACCTGTCCTCAGACAGTTACTCTCAGCGGGCAGCGGTCCGGTCCGCCCTGTCTCAGGACCCATCCTGGATCTCAGAGTATATCTCAAAGGCGATACCGATGCTGACATCTCAGGACAACGAGATCACTTACCTGGTTCCCTGGAGCCGCCTGCAGATGCCGCCACAGGAAGGCGGTAAGCCCCGCCCCCTGGCTGTAAAACTTTCAATGACATCATGTCTACGTCATGACACCAGGTGTGTGTTACAGGTGTGTACGAACTGGTTTCCTACCAGATGCGTCCTGGGGGTCCGGCAGTTTGGGGCAACGCCTTCCAGGCTGCTGTCACTTCCCATGATGCACCAGGGTACGGGAAGCTGGTGGGAGCGTTCCACAGCGAGTTCGGTCAGCTGAACAGAGGTGAGACAACCTGTTAAATATTTCGAAATGTTGAAGATCCATGTCTGACGTCCGAGACAAAATGGAGGACGACCTTTTATTTGAATGAATTTAATGATGACTGACTGGGGGGGGGGGGGGGGTTTAAAATGTTCAAAAACATTATTTATATTTATTTATTTTTTTAATAATTTTTTAACTAAATAGTTTCATGTTGTTTGGCAAATGATTTTTCAGCCCTCTTACACCTCCGCGGCCCACCAGGTGGCCCCGGGCCACAGGTTAGGAACCACTGTTCTAAAGGTTCCTCACAGAACCTTCTGGACCTCCTCATGTGTCCAGAACCAGGACAAAGGTCCAGAGTCCAGCTCCTCTGTCCTCTGTCCTCTGTCCTCCTCATGTCACGTCTGTCTCCAGGTTTCACTTTAACTCTCTCCTGAACAGGAGGAGTGTGTGTGTGTGTGTGTGTGTGTGTGTGTGTGTGTGTGTGTGTGTGTGTGTGTGTGTGTGTGTGTGTGTGTGTGTGTGTTCTAGGTATTACTTATGTTGTGGGGACCTCCAGCTGTTTCCAGTCACATTATGAGACTGTTAAGTTTGGAGACAAAGAAATTCACATGATGTGAATCATTAAATATTGAAGTGACACAACTGTGTGTTTGTGTGTGTGTGTGTGTGTGTGTGTGTGTGTGTCAGTTCACACCCTCTGGTGGTTCGAGAGCGCTGACCAGCGAGCTGAGGTCCGACACAAATCTCACAGTGATGCCAGAGTGGTCGCTGCAGGTGAGGCTCCGCCCACAGTGATAGTGACATCATAGTTACCTGTCAGTGCTCAGTTGTTTTGATTATTGGTGTATAATTATTGATGACTTTAATGTTTTAGCTGATGATAACTTGATATTGCTGCTGGTTTAAAGAAACAACAGCTGTCAAATAAAGATGGCAGGTGTCTGGGATTACCTGAGATCCTTCAATAATCAATATCATCACTAACTGATCACTCTGTTCAATAATTAATATTAATGTCTCTCTGTCTCTCAGTCAGAAACAGTGTTGTCCATCTCGACTCTCAGAAGAACAAACTCATGTTTCCATGTCCTTTCTCCCCGATGAAGTAACTTCTTGTCCTCACATCTGCCTCTCCACGGCAACAGAGACAAACACTGTAAACACAACGCTAACATGTAAAACTGATTGTAATCTTGTCCTCTGTTAGCCTCTGTACTGACACATCCTGTAGTGTGTAACTGTCCGTCAATGTGTGAGTGACATGGGCAGTGTCCAGTGCTGTGGTCTGAATGCTGGAGGGGGCAGGGCTTCTGTGATTCACCTGACACTGTTGCTTTAAATCTGACAATTGAAACTGTTTCCTGAATAATAAAGTGAGACATGAACAAGTTGTCTGTGGCTGAACATGTTTATTTATAGTCACTAACATCATTTTACAGCTATGAAATATTACTATTTAATAATATTATTATTATTAAATAATAATTAATTCAGTGATTAACAGACAAAGAAACGTTACACACACTGAGGTTTAAACACTGTTTTTATGACCTTTTTATGACTGTTCTGTACACTCCCAGTACTTCAGGTTCAGGATCAGGATAAGAATCAGGATGATGATCAGGATCAGAATCAGGATCAGGTTTAGGTTCAGGTTCAGGGTCAGGGTCAGAATCAGGATCAGGTTTAGGTTCAGGATCAGAATCAGGATGATGTTCAGGATCAGGTTCAAGTTCAGGTTCAGGATCAGGTCTGATGTTCAGGATCAGGTTCAAGATCAGGTTCAGGATCAGGTTCAAGATCAGGTTCAGGATCAGGTCTGATGTTCAGGATCAAGTTCAGAATCAGGATGATGTTCAGGATCAGGTTCAAGATCAGGTTCAGGATCAGGATGATGATCAGGATCAGGGTGATGTTCAGGATCAGGTTCAAGATCAGGTTCAGGATCAGGATGATTATCAGGATCAGGTTCAGAATCAGGTTTAGGTTCAGGATCAGGATCCGGTTCAGGTTCAGGTTCAGACTTTGTTAAACTGACAGAGTGAGACGTCAGACTTGTAGTTTGTGTTGAAAGCAAAGAGTGACGTTAACGTCTGTAAATGAACCAGTTCAATAATGAAGTTTATTTTAGATTCACTCTCATAAGATCACACTGATTTTATTTCTCTCATTAAGCTCAGATTATTAATGATGAACAGAATCAGCTGATTCAAACTGTCAGAAAATGAAAGTGAATATTCCGTCCCTGCAACTGACAAATATCTGATTTATCATTTCATTGTAAAAATTACCTGGTACCAAGCTGAGTTAAACAGAAGCTGCAGTTCCTCTAACGACCACTAGAGTCTGGCTCCAGCAGTGAGTCAGTCCCCATAGACTCCCATGTTAAAATGTCCAACTTTACAGCAGAAATAAACATGTTTACAGCCTGGTACAGAAACTGTTTTGGTCTCTAGAGATAATTTCCTCCTTCATGACACCTGTTTATATAACTCACCTGCTTACACTTTATTAAGGACTAAAGTTATGGAGAAATGAAGGCATGGCCTCTTTGAGTGACAGGTGGGTGCTGTCACAGTTAGCTAGATGCTAGCAGCTGACTAGCAGAACATGAGCTCCTGTTTTCACAGCATAGTCAAATTCTACTATTGTTTTATTTATATTTTATCACTAATCAGCAGGTATCAGTGTATTGGCTCACAACACCTGGCTTGTTAGCTTAGCTCATTAACTAGGTAATTAGCCAGCAAATGAATAAGCCTTTGGTTAGCCTAAGAGTAAGATACCCAGCTGTGCTAACAATGCTAACAGGAGCGTATGTTCACCACAGTCATTAAACCAGCTCGACACAAGCCCCTCCTCTTTGACCATTTTTAGATTAGCTGGGGCGGAGTCAGACACTGCCAAGATGGTGACAGTGGTCAGCTCTCTCTGAGCTTCTGGACCCTGTTGGTGACGTCACAGAGGCAACATCCATCTTTATTTACGGTCTGATCTTTTCAAACAGCTGATATGTCTCTAAATATCACATTGATTTAAACTTTCAACACGTTCTAGAAAACGTCAGACAATCAACAGTTTAAGGTCAAAGGTCGTGAAAAGTAAAGACTCAGAGACAGTTGATTTGTTTCTCTTTAATGTTGTTCAGGGTCAGTAACAGTTCTTCTTCTCCTCTGATCAATAACAACAATTTCATCATCAGTGCAAACACAAAGTGCTGAAGCTGGTTCGCCCTGATCAGCTGTTCACTGTCACCTCCTGCTGGTGGAACTCAGAACTAGCTCCAGCTTCAAACAGGAAGGAGAATCAATAATCAATAATCGATCGGCTGTTCAATACTGTAGTGTGCTGTGAGGAGCTGATGAGGTATTTGACTGTTTCACACCCACATGAACAAATCTGCTCCTTTTTTTTTTACAAAAACTATAAAATCAATCACCTCCTCCTCTCTGTGTTGAACACTCTGATTGGCTGTTAGACTCTACAGGAAACAGGAAGGCCACTCGGGCTCCGCCACAATAAAACAACAAACTGTTTCAGCTACACATATAAATAAAGGTTTGAGGGTAAAAACGGAATCAAAGGTGTTTTTAAAAAGGTGATTGTTGTAGTCGAGCCCTCGGCTGTTTGAAATGATTCGGATTCTTCATCGTTAGTTCAGAACAACACAGACCCTGACGAGTTCATTAGAGGCACCGCTTCAATCACACAAAGAAGAAATCAGCTGAGGACCGCCACGAGCACCAGCTATTTAACATTCAGCCTGGTTGGCAGCCGGCGAACAGCGCGGTGCCTCCACAAGAAATCATTTGCATTGACTGGCATGAGGCAGCAGGTGACTCCGCCCACTACAAATCACAACAGGTGAGGGGGTGGGAGGTGGGGGTGGGGGGTGTCCTCTTTGCTGCAGGGTCGAGTTCAGGCCGGAGCTACAGCCTCCTGACGTCACACGGCCACGTCATGGCGGGGTCACATGATGGCGGGGTCACATGACGCTTTCCCTCAGCGCCTCTCCCCCCTCGTCGGCTCCTGGGCTGGAGCTCAGCGTGGGGATGTTGATGGAGACGTCTTTCCGTCTCACAGAGGTGTCTTTGGAGTGATACTCGTCGCTCTGGTCCTTTGCAAAGTTCACAAACACCTGGAACCACAGGCAGCGTCAGACTACATCCCCCATTAGCCCCCCCCACAGGAGACATCGACACTACATTTATACATATGAGTGTGTGTACCTGTCCAGGTGTGTGCAGTACAGTTACCTGGTCCAGAGTGGTCTGGGTGACGGAGTAGTCCTCGATCCTCAGCGTCTCTTTATTTTTGGCCAGGATGGAGAAGATGTGGGTGAGTGAAGTGAGGGATGAGGGGAGTTGGTATTGCAGCATGTTCCTGTGTTTCTCCTTCAGCGTGCTGCCGCTCAGCTCGCTCTCGATGAACTTCATGACAGGCAGCAGGTCGGGGTCGGGCCCCGCCACCCGCAGGATGATGGTGTAGCCGTCCCCGAACCTGAGGACCAGGACCAGTGATTATAATGAGCTGCTGGTCACGGTGACGTCACGGTGACATTACAGTGACGTCACAGTGACATCACATGACTAAAGAGTTTCACATTAGAGTAATAATTAACAATAACACACAGATTGTTCCTTAAATTAAAAGTTACATTTGTTCTGACTCCGTCGCCTCCTGGTGGACGACATTAATAAGTATATTTATATTAATAATTAATTAATTATAGTTAATATATTTTATTTTAATGAATTCACCTTGACTGTGGAATCAACCATATTTGTTCCTCTAGCAGCTCGGTCCACACGTTTCATTTTGAAATTCAGTGTGAGGATCCTGCTGTGTGTGTGTGTGTTACCTGTTTTTCAGGTGTTGGACGCTGCCGAGACATCTGAACCTGCCGTTCACCATGATGGCCATCCTGGTGCACAGAGCCTCACACTCCTCCATGCTGACACACACACACACACACACACACACACACACACACACACACACAGTTAATATACACACTGAGACATGTTTCCTCAGCAAGGACACAACATGGAGGACATTGAGTGAGACCTAGTCCTCAACAGGAAAGGACCTGAGGACACTGAGGTCACCTGTCCTGGTGTCTCTTACCTGTGTGAGGTGAGGACGATGGAGCGTCCCTCCTTGATGACGCTGTGGATGCAGTTCCAGAGCGCCCGGCGAGCCTTGGGATCCATGCCAGTGGTGGGCTCGTCCTGTAACGAGGAGGACAGCCAGGTTGAGGTCGGCCCACAGGTGAAGCAGGAAGCAGAGTGAGAAGGTGAGGAGGAGGGGGAGGAGCATCTCTTCGTCTCTGTTTTAATATAAACCTCCCTGTATGTGTTCTTCTTCTCTCCTCAGTGAACTGAGCAGCAGCTCCTTTTAATCTGCCTGTTACACAACCCCCACCCCCCCACCCCTAAAACCTGCTGAGCTGCTTGCTGATTGGCTGACAGCTGCTGTTGTGTAATTCTGTTGTTCTCTGGAGCTTTAACTCAACCGAACCACACTGAGGGAGGAAGACCAGCAGAGAAGGCTGAAAGCTTCACAAACAGTAAGGTGATGAATCAGAGGTGAGGAAGACGAATGAGGAAGGGGGAAGGGGAGGGGGAGGAGTTACCAGGAAGACGACAGGCGGAGCTCCAATCAGCGCCATGGCCGTCGACAGTTTCCTCATGTTCCCGCCGCTGTAACTTCCTGCTGCTTTATCAGCGTACTTCACCAGACCCAACTTCCTGATTCCCCACTCCGCCACCTGTCAATCAAACACAGCATCATCACCATGACTCCCGCTGACCACCGCACAGAGGGTAGTATAGAGTGTGTACTTTAAAGTATGTACTATAAAGTGTGTACTATAAAGTGTGTACTATAAAGTGTGTAGTACTGTCGTGAGATGTGTGTCGTGTGTTGTGTGTTGTGTGATGTGTGTTGTGTGATGTGTGATGTGTGTTGTGAGATGTGAGATGTGTGTTGTGTGATGTGTGTTGTGAGATGTGAGATGTGTGTTGTGAGATGTGTGTTGTGTTGTGTGATGTGTGTTGTGTGATGTGTGATGTGTGTTGTGAGATGTGAGATGTGCGTTGTGTGTTGTGTGATGTGTGTTGTGTGATGTGAGATGTGTGTTGTGAGATGTGAGATGTGTGTTGTGAGATGTGAGATGTGAGATGTGAGATGTGAGATGTGAGATGTGAGATGTGAGATGTGAGATGTGAGATGTGAGATGTGAGATGTGAGATGTGAGATGTGAGATGTGAGATGTGAGATGTGAGATGTGAGATGTGAGATGTGAGATGTGAGATGTGAGATGTGAGATGTGAGATGTGAGATGTGAGATGTGAGATGTGAGATGTGAGATGTGAGA